GGTCAAACATGTGCTCTATTCTCTGACCCTTTCACTTTATCCTAATTTAATAACTTTTTTTATAATATTGGTTCAGGTTTCTCTGGTACGTACCAAGTTTTTTTTGGTCTCTCAAATTACGACATTGGCTTTCATTTCTTCAGTCACCGCGGAACTGCGACATTACTTTGAACAAGAAAAGAGGGTGATCTGTCACGTCGCCACCGTGTTTGTATAGAATATTGACAAAATTACGCGTCGATGAGGCTTTGTTTGCATCTGCGGAACGAGAGAAAGCATTGTTTATTGGAAATGTCTGGGAGGCAGCGCCCCATGCCGCATACTGCCACCCTCACCTGACTCCCACCTATCTCTGCCAGAGACTTGCCATCTTGAGTGTATTAAAATGCTTCACCGACACTGGGAGATGGATGTTCTACCGATTCCACGCCACCCTGCTAAATATTTCTCATCAATCTATTGTCATGGATCTCTACGCGGACACCATAATTCGCTCGTGAACAGTTGTAATTAATTGCCATTGTAAACGTTCTTGTTTTATGTGTACGTTACCCAAATAGTACGGCCGTTACGATGTTACGATTCTTAGAACATATCTACAATAGGTTTCATGTTTTATAACATTTTACTGCGTATATTACGGTCTATTTTCATTTGTAGCGTTCACGCTTGAACAAATATTTGTCATGCTCGAGTTATGTGTTTTCTTTCTCGAACGTACCTAATGAAAAAATATCTGGGCATATATTTGATCCAAATACCGATTGAAAAACAGCCGAAGTGTACTGATTCTGAAAAGATTTGTGCGATGCTATATGTTAAACACGTGTCAGGTGATAGCGGCCGTGGCTTTAATACTCGATTTATTAACTCTGTCAGTGTCATGAATGTTAATCTTCTGAATCAGCAATTGCAACCACCTATTTTAATACACGATTTAAAACACAGTAGCACCGTTTTATCATTGAATTTATTAGAATACCATCAATTTGACGTCAATGCAAATAGACCTAAGTACCTTCTCATTGGAATGCACCACGTTGACTGTTTATCTAATCTTAACATTATCTGTAAGTATTCGCAGTCTATGGTCGCCATTACAAACTAATATTTATCTTTACTGTGCTAATATTTGGCCGAAGATTAAATAACACAGTGTTATACTATGCATCTAGTGTTAGATTCTCAATCATGTTCGGTTTATAAGGATGAATTCACTAAACATGATGAGGGAGAGTAAAATAAATCGGTAAAACTCCAATCAAGGAGGGATGACGCACAATCCCCGGGAATGAGATATAAATGGAAAAGTAAACAAGGCAATAACGGTCAGTCTCGGCCCATCGGAGTAAGTACGGTGACCATAATGGTGGAGATATCCAGTCCAACATGGGGAAAAATAAAATATTAAAGATTAGCTTTCAGTATAGTTCCATTATAAAATAAAGTTTTGAAGTATGACTGGATAGACTAATGCGAACAAAGCCTTTGACAGAAGCTAATTATTGCTATGCAATTAGAACGATGATTTAATAACCCGCATGACGAGAACTTTGCGTCCTCCAAAAGTCTTTTTTACAGTCAGTCAAAAACCTTTCATCCTTAAAACAGGCAATCTTATCATCAATATCAATCTAGTTACCCACGGTCAAGGCCGCAGTCAGGTCTAGAATACTAAACACATAATCGATTTGGGACTTACCTTTGGCCCCGACGTAATGAAATGCCCAAAATTGTAGAAGTGAGTCTTGGTTTATCGTGTTCGTTGGCGACCCAAGCCACTGCGACGGATGGTTGGCAATCCGATTATGCGATCCCCCGTCACCGGTTCAATGCCAAATGGAGCCCGGATCTCGGTAATCATAGCAGTGTCAATTCTTATCAAGTACCTATTTCCCACACTGACACGTAACGACTAGTACCAAATAGGATCTGTCGATAATACTAACAATTTCATGTTAATTTAGTCTTGATTAATTCATAGTTCGAGAACATTAATAATTTGAATTTGTCAATGAATAAACCAGTGTACGTCTAGATGTATTTAATGCATAGTAGTTTACAGTAAAATAAAGCGTAATATGAGTTACTGTTTACGAAATGATCCTCGGGCCGTTGGGTCTGTCATTATGTACGAGTTAGTCCGACGACCCTTTATAACGAGTTGTTAAACTGCTTCGAGTAAATTACGCGAGGCGATATCTACGAACATAGCGCTAATGTACGGTGAAAACATAAAGGCTTCAATGCCACAAACAAAAGAATCTGGTGAGAACTTAAAAGCTTTAGTAGCACTCTTTTTCTACGTATCGTTTAGTGAAGTTGCTAATGAGTTTTCTTATTGTTCACAACTGCTTCAGACTTTATCGGTTATTGTATATAGCTTTATCGTTCAATTAGGATTCATTCAACGGGTGTCATAAACGTGAAATTGGTGTTTTTACCATCCTTTTCGTATGGCCATTTTCTTATAGGTTGTTTTTTTTTTATTAACGATTCTTCTCAATCGAATCTTTTTTTTATGATACACTTAATAGTTACAGATTTCGTCATCTACCACATTATGGTCTTCTGAAAATCAAACAAAGTATTCATAAACATTTTCTATTCAGACATTCTTAAGAAAATATCTTTTGTATCGGATAGTTGAACAGTCTTCCATCTATTGTTAGTGTACCAAAGGGGAGAGATATGTGTTTATTGTGATCGTTACACACAGTCCTCCAGAGCATTCTATCCGCCTACTCGATTACACACTTGTTGGAACTCACTCGACCCCAAATAACGATTAAGATTCATCTATGAATACGAAAGGTAAGGTACTTGTCGTTAGGCGGGTGTCCTTACACGCATGGATCTATTAACTTGCATATTGATGTCCGCTAAAAATCCTTGCTGAAGTCAATTTGTATATTTGGAAATGTTACAAAGAGTGCTACCTTATTTCGTTGAACTGGCAAATAACATATTCATGCATTTTATAAATTTTATTCAAAATATTCTTCACAGTGTACTCGAGTCTTTAGAAAACAAACTTCTCCCCGTTGGAAAGCTTGATCGAAAGGAGTTCAATCATTTTCATGGGCAGTAACGCGAGCCCGGCCGAGTTACAAAGAATTTTACGTTCTTTCTCCCCATCGAATTTATAATTAAACTTCCAAGGAATTTAATTGACAACTCGGTCTTTAAAGGTTTTATATACTTTGTTATATTTATAAGCGTTATAATTTAATTAGATCAGTAGTCTCCATTGTTTGAGTGATACTCGATTACTTTGTTTCAATTCCATTGCAAGTCATTTTCTGCCTCTTATTGTAATCGTCGAATCAACGAATATTATTTCAGAAAACACATCCATGATTCGGCCGCAATAATATTCCGGGATTAAAAGAAATAATATCAATTCGGGTCATGCGAAAGCGAAATTCAGTTTTGTGGAAAGCTAAACATAACAAACATTGGTTTAATTTTCCTGAAAACTCTGATGTTTTAGTCGATATTATTTTTCTGTTCCTGATATCAAGATTACTGGTCGTAATGTAGTTTGTATAGCTATGCTACAGGAAAACGGGTAGTATCGGAGATTTGCGGAGAGGTACGCTTCGGGCTTGATTCCGGACGTATGACGTCACACGGCTCGTAACATTTCCCATATGTTTGTGGTTTCTTAGTAACGAGGTATATGGAATGTTTACACACTAGTATCTATTTGAAGGACATACAATACAGGTTTATGATGTACACGGACGTGCAAAAAATGTAATTACGTATGCGGTTTTATATTCGTGAATAGATATTTACAAGTAAATTGTTTAGTTTACGAGTGTATCTTAAAGTAAAAAAGAAAAGATGCATTTAGAGGTTCTGGGTCTACATGGAATGTAACGTAAAAATGTACTTAGAAATAGGTATAGTATTCGGTTATGTTTCACAAAAGAATACAATACATAGCAAACAGTAAAAAAAAAGGGAACTCTATTAAATCAACAAAAACATTATGAAAACAAAAGAATTAGCTTGTTAAGCGTAGTCCCTAGGCGGGGCGACGAGGTCCACCCACGTGTGTTAATGTCCACGAGTGTCAGTGAATGTAAAATGTATGACGTGATATCTCATTATCCTCGTCCGCATCTCCGTTGGGAGAACCCGTGGAATATGGCGTACCTATTACAAGTTACCTACAAATTAACACTATTGTTTTCAGACCTTTATTGACGTTGTTTTCAACTCTCGAGACAGGGTTAATTGTCTTTGTGAAGTTAAAGTTACGGCCTTATTACATCACGGTGATGAAACACAAAGCACGTCTTTTCTGTTATTTATTTACAAGAAATGAAGATGGAGTCCTCCTCAAAATATTTTGATATTAAAGTCCCTTCTCGATTAATTTAATCATGAAATTAATGTTAAGAAGTACATAAACGTACTTCTTACTTCCTGCAGCATTAAATGTAGGACAGTATTAAATTGTTTTTGACTTTCATTAAGATAACGCCCGTGAAGTTTAAAGTCCTATTAGTCTAATCAGCTCAACTGTAACAAGTTAACTAAGGATAAGGACATTAGCAAATATTTTACTAGCAAATGACCCTACGCTACACAAGCGCCCCTAGTACCGCGAAAACCCACATTCTATCACGGTTGAGCTTTTATATTTGTATAGTGAAACTCTATAACCGTTGGAAAAATACGGGCAACATTTTCAATAACAATGGATCGGCAACAATAGCGTTGAACTTGAGCGTAGCGCGCCGTCCAAAGCAGAAAGTGAATGGCTCTCAATAGCAAATTATTTAGCTCATATTAAACATTGTTTTGCATAACCTGGATAAGGTTGTTTTTACATAACAGCAATATCAATAAATAATATCGATAATAGAATTCAAAAGTTTTGAGCAGATAAAATAGACAAAAAATGAAGTCAAATGAAGAGAATGAAATTGAGTGATTATCATAAACTGTAGCCAATTTACTATAGTGCTGTGTATGTGTTGTTGCAGGGCGGCGTGGCAGCGCGCTTTTAGGGTGTAGCGAGATCGCGCACCCTGGAGCCGCCCAGGGTTCCACGTGAGTAAAAATATTTTATAATATTCTAAAAAAAAACGCAAGCAAAGTAGTCCGTATTTTCTTTGAATAGGTATGGAGTAGGTGGACGACTGGCGGCCGCACAACGTACCTCGGAATTTCAATTCTCTTAAGGGAAAATTCTTTGTAGCCCCGTTTGTTTGGGTTTGATCCATGACTGTATAAACGCACCCACACTACAATACAAATACTAACTAGGACAAAAATACTAACGCGGAGACTAACATATTTATATTTCTTCAGATGTAACAATGTATCCTTTACGTCTTGTTCCTCAAATACGTAATAATTTAACATTTAATATGTTTCTCCTAAGCGTTAAAGCTCTTACGAATATTCTAATATTGATTTTAAGATCATATAACATGGGTACTAGGTACACATACTTCACTTTTCATGGAAATTTATTGTTAAGTCTATTTATTTTCGAGTATATGTAAGTGGATACATAATATTCCTGGTATCATAGAAAAGCTGTTGAGATTCTGCTTTCATATTGCGAATCAATTTTAGGGGTACATATGATGTATGTAAAACCTCTATATCTATACGCTTATGTAATTAATCCTAAATTAATATTACCTCTTTGTTGAATATGTTCTCCGGATCATAACGTTTCGCAATTTTACATTAGAACGACTTTAAGCTAAGGCGTTAATATTTTTAATGAAGCAATATTCTCGAGAATAAATAATTACGTTTAAATTTTTAGAAAGCCATCAAGTAAATAAATAATTTACAAATCTTTTAAGTAGGGATTCAATTGACCTTGTTCTATAATTCGTCGTATTGTCTTTGTCTTTCATATTCCGTTTCCATGGCGCGACGCCAGATTTGGTTTTCCCTATTTCCCTAAAGTAATTGGGTCAATAGAAAAGAATGTTAGAAAAAAATTGTTAATTGAGGGAAATTCTTTAGATGAGCGAAGCGTGAGACCGGCATCCGGTGGTTTGGGGGCTTGGGGGAGGACAAAGGCTCCCAATCATGATTTGTGGAGACATCACGTGTTTGCGGTTGATCTCATTCAATGAAATGTTTGTAATAAAAAAAAGCTTTTAAATCGTTACAGGCTTTTCGGTCGAGCGGTTGCAAGTTGGTTTAAAAAGATTGTGATCTGTATCTAGGTATTCATATAAGGCAATAGCTACTCTCGCGCGGTTTCACCCGCTGCTCGGCTCCACTTAATCGTAGCGTGATTTTTTATAGCCTATAGCACTCAGGTACATTGTAGCTTTTTGAAGAATTTTGGCAATCCGACCAGCGGTTCCAAAGATTACCCCCTACATACAAACTTACAAATTTTACCTCTTTATAATATTAGTATAGAAAAGTGGATCGCTTCTTATTCTAAGACTACTTAAAGGACTAAAACTAATAAGACAGAAACTATAAAGAAAATAAACATGTACATTTAAAAGATATATTATTACTTACAATATGCGACGTAATGTCAGTCACTTTGTCATACATGCAGACAAATCTTTTTTTTTATGTGAGTACAAAATCATTAAGTGACTTCTCCCGCCCAGGGCCGCGCGGTAGGGAGTGTCAGACTCTTACTGACCAAAAACCCCTCTGTTCCTTCTCATGCTCTGGGCCGAGGTCGCGGTGCCTCATTGCGCTTACCCCGCAACCCCGGCTGAACATCAGCCCTATAGGCCCTGTCATGCAGACAAATCTTGCGGTTTGTATCAGTATCGATCTTTCACTTTATCAAATAAATCCGGTTCCAAGATTAATACATGAATCAGTCCTTATTCACCAAACAATATCGTTTTAAAACCTTTATGTTTTATATCGGAATATTTCGATTGTTGTTCTATTTTCGGGCAATAGATAAGTACCATATTGCTTTATGTTATATCTGGCTGTCTCGAGAGCCGGTTGCGTAGATACGGCTACGTCTTCTCATCTTAATTTTATATTTGAATTCTGTTTTGTATAATAATCGTAGCTATTATGTTATATTTTATTTTCTAATCTTCTTAGAGGCTTAAATTAATATTTAAAGTGTAGGTGGATGCTCTTTATAGGCTCGCTTTAATTAGTAATTATAGCCATTTGTTATAATTTCGTTTGTTAAATCAATTTAATTTTGTCTAGAAGAGTAATATCTTACATTTACTAAATCACTGTATAGTCTCCACCAGCAGTTAAGTTAATACAAATTTGCCTAGTTACTCAATGTTTCCCACTCTATGTGAATAATATAGTTTATAGATCATATAAAACTTTCCAAGTGGTTTCGCTAAGTTTGTTCAGTTCAAATTCAAGTTTGAGTATTTATTATATGTTTCATGTTTTTGTTTTCACATTTAACTTCTATATTATATCTAGTTCTATATAGTAGCTAAGAAGTAAAAGTTTTACAGAATAATAAGATTGAAAATTACGAATAGGATTCAGAACCTTTTAAGACAAAAAACTCTTTCAAGCACCGACTTTTTTACTCATAAACGAAGAAAAACATATAAAAAAAAAATATTTGCTTTTATATCAGCAGCAATACTAGTAATAAAATAAATAGTGGAACAACAATAGCAGAGCGGACGGTACATGAAACAATACTCTGCTTAAACGTCTGAAATGGAGCACTTACTCCTCAGGGTCGGTATAGACAGGGCACTTTCTTGTGGAATTATGAAAAATATTCACTGAGAATTTACCACAACTATCATAAAAATATTAAGACCAATGGCATATAGTGAAGGATAAGATCGTGAGGAAACCTGGACTAAGAATTTACTACTCTGTCATGAAAGTACCGGGAAAAAGTCAATAATACACAAAATAATTGTTATTCATCTAAATTTATTTTATCACCTTCAAAGTATGCTCCTTCAGAAACGATACACTTTCGCCAACGAATAATCCAATCATCGAAACTTTTTTTAAACGCTGTTTCCGGAATTGAGTTCAGTGCTCGCCGCGAATTCTCCTTTATGTCTTCTAACGATTGAAAACGGGTAATTTGAGTGTGGGAAAAAGAAAGAAGTCGGCTGGAGCCATATCTGGTGAATATGGTGGCTGCTCGATGGTGTTTGTTGAATGTTTGGACAAAAAATCGTTTACAATGATGGCCTTGTGCGAAGGCGCATTATCGTGATGCAAAATCCAAGAATTTTCTTTCCACATTTCTGGCCTTTTTCGTCGAATTTGTTCTCTTAAACGCCGCATAACGCTCAAATAATATTCTTTATTTACCGTTTGACCTTCGGGCAAGAATTCTGAGTGCACAACACCGCGATAGTCAAAGAAAACAGTCAACATGACTTTGACTTTTGATCGACTTTGACGTGGTTTTTTCGGTTTTGGTTCAGTTGGAAGGCGCCATTCCGAAGCTTGTTGACTAGTTTGCATGTCAAACTCGTAAACCCACATCTCGTCACCAGTAACAATGCGTTTCATGAATGTTGGGTCGGTATTGACTCGCTAGCATGTCCTCAGCGACTTTCATGCGATTTAGTTTTTGAAGAAAAATTCAGGTCTTTTGGGACTAGCCGAGCGGCAACACGTTTCATACCCAAATTATTTGTTAAAATGGTACGGATCGACTCGTGAGATACAGAAAGTTCGGCGGCCATCTCTCTCAAACTTGAATGAGGATTTTCAGTCACTATTTCCTTCACTTTTGCGATGTTAACTTCAGTTGCAGACGTTGATGGCCTACCAGAACGAGGCAAATCTTCCATCACATCTAGACCGCTTTTGAACGCTTTGTACCACTCATAAGCACGTGTTTTTGATAAAGTCGATTCAGCGTAAGCCTTCTGTAACATTTTGAGTGCCTCCGAACACGAAATTTCATTGGCGATGCAAAATTTAAGACAAACTCTTTGTTCGATGTTTTTGTCCATTATGAAATTCGCAATACACACTAGATATTATAAAACTAAAAACAGCACTGTTTTTAATATAAATAACAGATGCAACTCAAATTCCGCGCCAAAATGGAAAACAGTTATGCCAATCTAACAACAACAAAAAAAATTAAAATTCGAATTTGGAACCATAAAATACTTTGTTGACTGAATGTATGTGTGAAATCGCCTATTTGTCTTGAACAAGCGTGTTAATCCCTTTCTTATGGGTTTTCTCAGCAATGGGGCAGTTAGAGCTTAACTCATTTGGCCTTCCTTGATAGAAAGTCTTAACAAAACAAAAAAAAAATAAAGTAGCGACTTATATAATCACCTGAATTAACTGAGAAAACATCTACTAATTCCAAGTCTCTACAGGATTCTGATTCATGAACAGCAGCGCGTCGCCCTGTTGACTAGTATGATTAATCATGAATTTGAGTCCAGCTCAAACTAGTACAGCTATTCTAAGCTAATTTTCGTGAGTAAGAAAATTTTTTTAATACATTAATAGTATGCCTCATGGTAGTTGTGTGGGAGAGCCATGCTTCGGCACGGGAATAGGCCAGCTCGACCGGAGTGATACCACGGCCTCACAGAAAACCGGCGTGAAGCAACACTTGCGTTGTGTTTCGCCATTTGAATGAGTCCAATTCTTCTCAATCCTCAAATCCCCAATAATTCACAAGAGGCCGGCACCGAACTTGTTGTAGCTCCTTTGGTTTACGACTGTCCATAGACAGCGCTAATTGCTTACCCGCAGGAAATTGGTCAGATCATTTGTCGACCTATAACATAAAAATTAGTTTTAATTTTCAATCTCATACTGTGAAGCTATAATACACGAAAACTAACTACGTAGAGTTGTCCTCGATGTAATTTAGTCAAATACACAGACGAAGTCTTTCGTCTGTGCAGACCTTTATAGTAGACAAACAGTTTCTCGAAGTAACGCTTTCGTGGTTTGTCGGCGCCTCGATACTCCGCTACACTTGTAACTTGAGTCTGGGAACGAACCCGATACCGACACCTGTCCTAAGTACATGATCTAGTGAACTAGATGTCTATGTACTTAGGTTCCATAAATGGCTTGCATTCTTATGTATTAGGTACTTGTTGAGTTGTTTATCCTTACGTAATCGAGTGGGCCATGACTGCCATAAGCCATAAGCGACTACTGACCAAGGGGGGTTCTTGTTTAGAATACGGTTCAAGTCTTTCTTTTTTTTTTAATTACGTTTGGAATGGCTATAGTGATCCATCCAATGACGTATTATATATAGACACGTCATGAACCAACATCGCGGCGCTTAAAAACGGCGAAAATACTAGATAACTACTTCTACGAGTAAAGAAAGGGAAAGAAAATATGACATCGTATAGAAGAATGCCTTTGCTAGAGGGAGATAAATATACATCTTCAGTTACATCGGCACGTGACTATACCTTCATGCGCCGGCCGCCATAAGATGGCGGGCGCCGGCGTCGAAAAAATAAAATAAAAATAGGTTGTTTGGTGAACTTACGCATGAAATGACACATTTTTGTCTTAAACTTTTGGAGTATAATTTGTACATCGTCTGAACACACACGACGGCATGCTTTCTTTATGTTTCGGGTTTACACACACGATATAAATTAAAAACAAACGTAGCGTCGCGCGGCAGGTTGGTGCGTAACTAAGCGCGATGTTGTCAATTGCCTTCATTTCATGTTGTCATTTTAGAGCGCGGACAACGTATCTATAGTTTTATACATCATTGTTTGTAATATTAGTATAGAAAAAGGAAAACATAAGGACCTCTTTTCGTTATAATTTCTGTAAAAGTTACGCTGTAATCTAAGCAAACTCTACTTTATACTTATAATATTTTTTATGAAAAGCTTTGGTACAAAACAGATTGATAACGATAATGTTCCGATAATGTATACCAGATTGGATATTGATAAAACAAGCTTATTATTTTTGTACTGCCAGTAAAAACAAGATTGTCTAGTGATAGGATAATGTCTTATTAATATGGCTGGCTTAGAAGATAAATACAAAATCCATTTTGGTTACTTGTTACTGAAAACTGTAACAAATGACCATATCAATACCAAAAATATTAGTCTATCACAAAATCAACTTTATTACATTGAACAATGTCAGAAAACTATAAATTTACGACTATCGATACTAAGACTATAACGAGGTAAAATTTGGAAGTTTGTAAGTTGGTATGTAGGGGGTAATCTTTGGAACCTTTGGTTTGGTAGTTTTATACATCATTGGATCCATCTCCTTATTTGTCACTTAATCATCATTATCACACTATCCATAGGATGTTCTTTTCTGAACATAAGCATATCCCAATCCAGATAAGTGGGAAGCGCATCCAATTTGTCACCTATCCTACCCTACAAAATAGCGTAAACCAAACCCAATAAATAACGCATCAATCGATCGCTCAACCACTATGTCAACTTGCGTCAGTTTGTACCGGAAATCTGTTTCAGTAAAATTTTTATTTCATGTAAATTTCCACGAAAAGGTTGTATATGCTTTCATAGCGTACTTAAACAGAACATTATTTAGGCAATTGAAATGCCTGTTTCTAGTATTACCTACCTACATATTTAGATTAGGTACCTATTTTTATTGTTGTCAGATAAAATAACTCACTTATCGCGAAATAAGGTAGAAACTGCACAGTGTTATACATATTATGCTAGTCTCACATTCTTTTGAGTGTAATACAGCCATTTCCAACTAGTCAAATTCAATACTTTTATCCAAATGACAAAAACGATACTTTTCTATGAAATTTGTATGATAAATTGAATTTTAACGTCATAGTACTTTTGCGTCAAATAGTTTACTTATTTCTTAAAAACTGGCAAAAGATATCTAAAATTTTGTGTATCGATCGATCGATGAATAAAAGTATAGCTATTTTTCAATATTTCATTGTGTAGAAACGTCAAATTATTTTTGACCTAGGAAACTACCCAATTGTAAAACTTTAAAAGAAATTTATCAACGCAAGCAAATATATAATTTGTTCGTATCTATAGATTTTTTTGTCTTTTGTAGTTCTACACATTCTTACGCATGTTTAAAAGTGTGATATACATAATAACAATCGAGATTTTCATGTCACGTACATTTTCAATGCTATTCAAAGTCAATTTTGTTGCCGCGATATCATTATGTAATATCATATTGTATGTATGGGAGGGAAATATTCGCGAATTTGCGATATTAAAGATGTCTGCGCTCACGGCCCCGTGGGGTCTTGTTGTCATATCAAATAATACGATATCTTGCGGATTTCGTACAGCGAATGTTCAAGTTAAATTATTAGATGAATTCTAAACAGATAAATGTAATGTGCTAATACGCTTGCGACCTGGCAAACGTGATAACGAGTTCATTTCTTAGTAAATACGCGAAATTATAATTGTTCTGTGAAGCTATAGATTAGAATCTATGAATTAAATCCAAGAACTCATCAAAATGATTAGCAGTCATCAAACATTCGAGGTTTACGCGAAAACGTAATACGTAGCATTCGTTATTTTTCAATTAATGTCTTTTCAAAGGCTGTGGCGTTCTCAGAAAAATATTATCAAATCAAAGAAAATTCTATAATTATTTACGGGTGTTTACAAATCCTGATTTGTAAATAGGTATCGTATTAAATTGAAAACTCGGTTTTTTTTTAAATTCACTCAGCATATTAAAAATACTTGATTTAGTTACAATGCTCTTAAAATCTCACTACAGTACTAAGTACGAGTACTTTAATGGCAGTATTCTTTATATAGTTGTTTCTAATAATAATTTTCTCTAATAGTCCACTGATAATGACAATGAGAGGGAATTCTTGCTTATTTTGGACCAAAACAAGAAGCTGAAACGTGAAATGGCTCTGTTAAACATTCAACACACAGAAGCCATTGAGGCCCGGGATAGGCTCCAATTCGTTGTGGACGAATTCAAGCAGTGTAGCGAGGAGTATGAAACCACTTTAAATGACAAAACGCTACTAAAACAACAGCTACATGAGGCCAACAGTCAAATTTCTGAACTAGAAATATTAAACTTAAACATCACGGCCGGCTTGAATAATAGTTTATTCAGTGAATTGGTGTCAGCCCAAGCTTCTCAACTACAATATAGTGATGTAAATTTAGATTTAAATCCATTAACTTCAAATCAGACTACAGATAATGATGCATGTCACCCAGTGAAATTTGTTAGTTCTAGTCATAAGAAGCTTAAGAAATACATAAGAATCAGTAAATTTATAACTAAAACAAACAGATTAGTAAAGAGACAAAAGTTCTTCATAAAAAATGTAAAATTAAATAGAGAACGTTTCCAGCTTCTGAAACAACTTAGTTTATACTCATCAAAATTAAATCAAAGTGCTAGGAAATATGAAACTGATACCCAGAGCCTGCAGTCAGAACTAGAACAATTAACATCAAAGTTAGAAATAATGTCTAATAAATATAGTGCTTCAGAAAGGCAGATGAGGGAATACATGTTGGCAATGAATGAGTTGGTAAGCTCGCAGGAGAAACAGTGTGAGAAGTGCACTCCTGATGCTATACTGCCTGCTCTTTCTGTGCCAGCATGTGAGACCACCTTACCTCATGGTAAAGGTTTACTGTTTAATAATTGTAATCCTAGTAATCATAATATTGGCATTTTCAGTGATGAGATTGGAAAGAACTTAGGTTCAATGTTGACAAATGAATTACCTGGACAGTCTACATTTAATCACTGTATGCCCGGCTGTAGTTTTGGTAATATTTTGGATAAAATTAATAAATATAGATTTAATCCAGATTCTACCCTCATTATAATGTGTGGTAACAGAGGTAGTCTTAATAAAAAAAGTTTAATCAATTTCCATAATTCACTTGCCAAACTGAATTTAAAGCAGATAATTATATTTGCATTGCCTTATATAAAATCATTGCCACAGGAAGAAAACAATAGTAGATATAAAATTAATACTACATTGTATAACTTAAGTATTAATACTAATATTCACTTCATAGACACCAACAATTATGTTGGTCTTAATATATATAGGACAAAAGATAGGTACTATCTTTCAAAATATTATTTAAGACAAATAGCAATGTCGCTATCATATTTTTTTAATATATCAGCCAATAACTTGGCTAAACAGGTTACTCCTATTGAGCAACCAAAAAATATTGACATTCATAATGAGTCACCTAATATTTATAATTAATATTTATATATAATTTAAATTATTAAATAAGACAATAGAGACAAACTCTTGCAAATTAAACAGTAATAAGGTTATTAATCTGGTTCACCAAAACATTCAAGGCTTTATGAGTAAAGAATTGGAAATAGAGTTATTTTTAAATTGTAATAATGTGGATATTTTGTGTATTACTGAACATTGGCTAAAACCCCATCAGCTCATGTTCAATTTTGGTAAGCACCAGATTGGTAGCTCGTTCAGCAGAGAAAACGCTATACATGGTGGGTCACTTATACTGATAAGTAACCAGCTCAAATTCAAAGATCGTAAAGATATAGTTAGTTACTCTGTTGAGCGTACTGTTGAAATAGCCTGTGTGGAATTGGAGCGGTTTATTGTATTAAGCGTGTATAGACCACCTTCTGGTTTGTATGACTGTTTTGAAACAGTAATGGATGAAGTTCTAAGTAAACTTACAAATTCAAAGAAATCCATCATTACATGTGGTGATTTTAATATAAATTTATTAGAAAAATGTAGTTTAAGCACAAAAATTGTAAGTTTATTTTCTTCATACAACCTTGCGAATTTGTTTCTGGAGCCAACTAGGATAACACCCACTAGTGCCACTTGCCTGGACAATATTTATACTGACATTGTGCCAGTTAACAAAGAAATAATTTCAGTACTTGATTCCGATCACTGTGGTCAGTTAATTTCTTTAACAAAAGAAATAAATATAGTATCAAAACAATTTATCACAGTTAATCCGAAGACTAAAAGACGCATTGAATTTTTCAAAGCTAAACTCAGCAACAAATTGCCTTTGTTGTTGAATTATAAGAATTCTAGCACTTTATATGATAAGTTTTTTAAAATGTACCTAACAGAGTTTAAGTCTACTTTTTCAGATAAAACTATACCAGCTAATAGCAATGCGTCTTTCGGTGATTGGGCAACCACTGGTATCTATAAGAGTAGAAAGCGCCTCTATGAGCTTTATAATGAGCGGACATATATTAACACTGTTGAATTCAGTGAATATGTAAAAAACTATTCTAAATTATTCAAAAAGGTTTGCTCTATTGCTAAATCATTTTTCTTAAGCTCTAAGATAAAGAACAGTACCAATGTTATCAAAGACACTTGGAATATTATCAACAGTGAGGCAGGAAGGTCTAAAAAGAGAATAAATCAACATAGTCTTGTAATTGATAATAAGTTAATAAAAGCGGATGTAGAAATTGCAACTGCTTTTGAAAATTTCTTTTCCGACATTCCTGTATCCACTACTAAGTCACTGAATTCATCTCCCACTGTTGCAGAGTCTTTACTCAAAAAACATGTTGTAGCTTGCGATTCAGGGTTTTCCTTCGAGCACATAGATAACAAGGAAATTGTTAAAATCTTTAATACTTTGAATAACAAAAAGACTGCAGATCTATGGGGCAATTCTGTGTATATTACAAGCTCTGTAATAACTATTGTAGCACCTGTATTAGCTCAAATCTTTAATAACTGTATTGACTGTGGTGTGTTTCCTGATCTTATGAAATGTAGTAAAATAATTCCATTATTTAAATCAGGTAGTACTTCTGACCCCACTAACTTTAGACCTATTTCAGTGCTACCTACGTTCAGTAAAATTTTTGAAAAAATTATTTTAGATCAAATGCAAAGATTTTTTAATAGAAATAAATTATTACATGCGAAACAGTTCGGATTTACAAGGGGTCGTTCAACAACTGATGCCGGTGTTGAACTTCTTAATCACATTTACGACGCGTGGGAGGACTCAAGCGACGCTTTGGGAATATTTTGTGATTTATCCAAGGCGTTCGATTGTGTGCTTCATGATACACTGATCAGGAAGCTATCTCATTACGGAATAAGAGGTGCATCTCTGGACCTTCTTACCTCATACCTGAGTAATAGGGTTCAGAGAGTTGAAGTAAACGGAATGGTTTCTGCCGGGTCTGTTGTGAAGATGGGTGTTCCGCAGGGTTCTATTCTCGGCCCGTTTTTATTTCTTATCTATATTAATGACTTGCCTTACCTTGTAAGGGATAAACACGAGATAGTGCTGTTTGCTGATGATACCTCACTATTATTCAAACTCAGACGACGACAATTAGTTATTGACAATGTAAACAGTGCTCTCTCAGAAATAGTTCACTGGTTTGGTGTTAATAACTTATTACTAAACGAAACTAAAACTAAATGTATTAAATTCACAACACCAAATGTTAAACAGGTAAAAACCAGTGTGCTTGTCAAGGGCGAGGAGTTGAGTCCTGTAGATACAACTGTCTTTTTAGGTATAACCCTGGACGCTAAGCTCCAGTGGGGCCCTCATATAGATGGCTTGTCGAAGAAGCTCAGTTCTGCAGCATATGCCGTTAAAAAAATTAGAAATTTAACAGATGTAGATACAGCGCGGTTAGTTTATTTTAGTTATTTCCACAGCATCATGTCATACGGTATTTTGTTGTGGGGAAATGCTGCTGACATTCAGTCTATTTTTGTTCTGCAGAAAAGGGCTATTCGATCAATCTATAATCTTAGTCCGAGGCATTCGCTCAGAGAATTATTTAAGGAAACTAAGATAATGACGGTTGCCTCACAATATATTTATGAAAATGTAATTCACGCTCATAAAAACAAAAGCTTATTTAAGAAGCATAGTGATATACATAATATTAACACGAGGGGGAAAAACAAATATGTTGTCCCTGCCTCCAGGCTTCAGAAAATAACTAGTTCGTTTAGATGTCAATGTATACGCTTTTACAATAAAATTCCTAGCGATATTCAAAATTTGAGCCTCAATAAATTTAAAAGTGTAATAAAGGCTAAACTTTGCTGTAAAGCATTTTATAAAATAAAAGACTACTTAGAGGATAGTCAGGCATGGGAATGAGCCGCTGTAATGTCTGCACAGGTCATGTTGACATGTTTGTAACATAAGTTACAATTTTATATACAATTTGACATTAGGTTTATTTTTTATTTTTTATACAATGACATAATCACCTATTGTGACATTTTATTTTTTATTTGACATTTTTTTTATTTATTTATTGACATTTTTATTATTTTATATTATTGTTAGTGTAAGGACCGTGTGAGACTTGCCGTGCTTTTTGATTACCAGTTATCTGCGTTCTGACAGTTTGAGTACTTGCGCGACCCACCCAAATGTTCTTTAGATCGGTATTGTTCGTCGGACAACTCAGCAGCACTAGCTATACTGGTTGCAAACTGACACTTGCGTGCCTGTCTTCAGAACGGGTCCACTTAAACTGGTGTGGTTCTTTCCTCAAAAGACCACTACAGAATGAACTTGCACGATTCTCTCACATTATGTTATTTTTACATTGTCTGGACTTGAAAAGAGACTGACCTCTGAGTTTGTTTCGGCATTTCTTCTCAGAGTAGTCAGATAGGAAATGCCGGCTTCATCTAGTTTTTCACATATAAATTGACGTGTAAAAGTGCCGTTTTATGGCCTATTTGCAAAAATAAAAAAAAAAAAAATAAAAAAAAAATTACGCCCCTACAAACCTTGATCGGAACACTTCAAAGGAAACTGATCCTCTTAAATGATAACGACGCCTAAAGCTATAATTACAACCACCAACGTACTTCGGCTACTGGGAACGAGACTTGCCGTCCCGAGACTAAGTACATAATATACATAATTAATATTATTATCATACGAACTGACATTATTTAACTTTTAGCATTCTAGTTAAACACACTACTTATTTACAGATACGATGGATTCAGGACAATCCAAACAATTTTAGTTATTGTCATTTGATAGTTTTCTGTTTTTACGAACTTTTCGGAATTACGTTCATACGACCTGCCTGATGTTTTATAAAATACGACACCAAAAAATCTACTTATAAACGGAAAAGTTTGCAAGGATGAATGAATGTTTGTTAATCTTTTACGTAAAAACTACTAATAATATTATAATGAAAATAGTATTATAGTAAATTACACCTAGGCTACATCTCACTCGAGTAACTCGGGCGAAACCGCTTGCAGAAGCTAGAATTTGAAATGATTGAAAAAGTTTGTGGTTTTGTAGAAGCCGATAATAGTATAGGTATGTTTGTCTTAAAGAATACGTAGTACTTAAAATACTAAGAATCAGCCAAACAGCCACAAAATATTTGCAAAGAAAAGGAAAATGTAAATAAATATTTTTCATTAATATTATTCAAAAAGTTATATGGAATCATAATTGTTTCCTTGTACACACACTATATTAATGTTTTGCACGAGCGAAGATGCATTAGTAGTTCCCGGGCACTCGTGTAGTTTGTTCTCCTCTATAAATGCCTTTATTAAATTAGTCGACATAAAGTCTAGGTTAGTTCCCTAACAGAAGACCAACAAATAAACCTAGCTTGGTACCTAAAACAATCTCTCATCTTCTTCTCATTGTTCTCCAAATCCAGATGTTTATTTATTTCTTGATCTAAACCAAATCTATTACTGTTAATACTTGACAGCAAGTTAATATTGGAAATTGGTTTTACATTCAGTTCGATAGCTCGTTAAACCTGTTTTAAACATTATAAGAATCTATTTTTATTTATTTAATAAAACAACGCAATCGTGTTTTGTCACAATTTGAAATTTTATTAATGATACCAAGGGTCACCTCCGTCGTTAATAAATTCAATCGTCTTAGGTCATCAACGAACGTAATCAATCTTCAATGTGGTATCATTTTCTTCTGGGGGAGCAGCATCAAATGACTTAGATAGCCCTGGTTGGGGCGATTGACAGAGTGTCAGACTCATACTGACTAAACCTAACTTCACCCCGGTCCTTTTCCTGTCCCAGTACGGGTCGGGTCGATTCATAAATTCGAGAGCACTTGTAGTTGCGTTCTAAAAAAACTCATCATTTGCGTCATCACAACGTAAATCGGTAGTGTTGTCAGCTAAATTGTTTTTATCCTTATATAAATATAATTTCCTGATATGTCATTCATGAGAAATACCTACTTGTAAGTTTTATGTATACTTTAATGTAGGTATTCTCACACTTCGTAGTACTACACGTTCATAATATTGACAAGACTAGTCGTGTCGTCACTCCATTCGTTATTACTCGTCATTGGATAAGGTAAATCCTTCTTCAAATACGGATTTTCGATGTAAATAATGACGAATATTTACATTGAAATTAATAACGTTTAATAATAAAACTTTTACATTAATATTGTTACTCTATTAGAAGTGTTAAATTTAAAGGTTCCGTGGATGGATATTTGATGGTTATGTACAACAAATATTCTTTTTTTACAGTGTTGAGGAGGGCGCGGCGACAAAATGGAAGACGCCGGCAGCAACAAGCAGCGACAGGCCACGCGAGTCTTCAAGAAAAGCTCGCCAAATGGCAAGGTATGCTTATATTTCTTTTCTTTATCCATTGTTCCTATCTCTGATACTAGGTTAGAATACCTTTTCAATGTAGAAAAGTAGTGCACACTATTCTGTACTCTCTATACTAGTCTGCTAATTGAACTTCTCTTTGCTAGCAAGAGAAATTGAGTTTTAACTTGACGGTCGTTACGGCGATTTGCCCTATACTGGATATTGAAACACAGTTGTGCTTAGATAAAATACTTTGTGATACAGCTGCTAGTATTCCAACCCCTGGTCTAAATTTGGGTATACCTATGTCTGTGTGCTCGGCTTCATCTGAAATAATTTTGGAGTCGACCTTAGGATTCATATGAAAGTGCCCGTGACTCTAACATCGGAAGAACTAATATAAAAGGGACCCTGCCAATGGATTTCGGCCGCAATATATATAAGCCTTAACTGACCTTTTAGAAATTACAAAAAATCTCCACAAAGTACTCCTAAAGCCATTTTTGACTTAAACCAGTCAATTACCTTTTAAATTAAACGAAATGGTCGTTTCGGGAACATTTAATCTGAATATTTTCAATTAGTTCAAGTTGATTTTTAAAAGCACCCGAGATAGGTCTCATTATCTTTTGTTACTTCGGTTCATGAGCGCTTTTTATTCTTTTTAATCACTAGCTTTAAGCTGAGGTTCCTTAAGATTTTAATATCTAGTTGCTAGAATGATAATATGTATTTATTCGATGTGTTCTCTATGCTGTATTTAGTCATGTTTAGAGTAAACCTTATGTCCTTATTGCCTGCAACATCTCTTCCTACAAGTTATTCGTGCTGAACGAACGTAATTACAAAAAGAAATACAGTCTCTGTGTCATGCTTTTATAACACCGCACCATGCTTGCTTGCCAATTCGAAGACTCTAGTCTCAAAGTGTGCCAAATCTTGTGACAACTACCGAAGTATTTCTTTTTAACATAATTTAGTTTGCCAAAGGATCACTTAAGATTAGCTCTTCTTTTGAGGTTTACTTTCGAAAACTAATTGGTTTATTTTTATCTTTTCAGATCACCGTATACCTAGGGAAAAGAGACTTCGTAGACCACATCACACATGTAGACCCGATTGGTAAGTTCTAAATATATCGGACAAGTTCTAGATCCAGGACAAACACCCCGCCGGTTCAATTTGATCCAAGTTGCTGAGTATTCAAACAATTGAACCAAGTTACAGTGATCCTCGCTCCGAACGTAAAGGGAGTGCCGGTGACGATCTTTGTATAATAAATTGCCAATCCCATCCAAGTTGTAGCCGTTGTCAGTCGACTTGGTACCAATATAGCAGTCCAGATATTTCAGATTAGTTAACTATATAGAATCGCATCGTATTACAATCTCTGTTAGATTCATGACGAGAATGAGCTGTAGCTGAGTAGCATGCGACCAAAATTCAAGATACCTAAGTTCATTCACTACTGTCTGGGTGCTATAAAACCACACCCTCGTACTACATTAATAAAGTATATATATCACGTTGTTTGCACGATAAACACAGGTTTGATCCGTGCAATTATTTATCAATGATTCATCACAACGCGTTGATCATTTTCTCAATGGAACACATCAACACTCAGCAAAGATTGTAATTTACTATGAGTAAGTTTACAAGAATATACGTATAGACCTACACACTAATTGGGTTAATACAAGATTATATACGTCACTACGTTTTCCGCGAACTTTTCCTGTATTTTAAGGTTATTTACTTGGCGTTTGATCTTGACTGCCTTCTTGTTAGTGACGGATGGCTGATTGCAATGGTGTAGCGAGCTATGAGCGCGGAAGGTACCAAATATTCATGCCGTGAGCCAACCATATCGTTATGCGATCAGCGATTCGAATTAGCTGTTGCTCCTCACGATGTGGAGCGGAGCGTGTAATTATGGTAATGCAACACTGTATCGAATCGCTAATTGTAATATTAGCCTAGTTTGTTGTTATCGATCGATATGTGTGGGATCAAGGTGTTCCTTAAATGATCACATTGCTTTTAGTACAACTAAATATAATGCCATTTGAGTCATCTTCTACTATCATGTAATCAGAATCAGGTGATAAGATATTAATGATTTACTATTTCAAAAAAAGACCGTCGTGTGAAATTGAATGAAAGCATTTTTTTGTTATATTTTTACTTTGAAAATCATGAGTGATCTAGAATTGTAAGGTAGAATACCAACCCTTCGTCACCTTTTCGCACTTTTAAAAACATCAGTCTAAGGCGTGATTTTCTTTTATTTTTTTTCAGATGGAGTAGTCTTAATTGACCCCGAATATGTGAAGGACAGGAAAGTGTTTGGCCATGTGCTGGCCGCGTTCAGATACGGCCGAGAGGACCTCGATGTATTGGGACTCACTTTTCGCAAGGACTTATACTTGGCCGCTGAACAGGTAACAGAGCTTTTTAAGAAATATTTTTTTAATGAACTTGTCTTTAGGGACGCCATCGCCTTGAAAAAAGCAAATATTCGATTTAGGGCTGATTTATCAATAGTCAGATAAATGTTATCTGAAGAATAAAATTGTTGCTATCACTGTCTTATACAAACATTCTGACGCGACAGGATCATAATTCCCCAGATAACTTTTATCTAGCCATTGAAAAATCAGCCCTAGAAGTAATAAATAAGCCCAGAAATATGTTTATTTAGATACATAAATGTTTTTTTTAATACGATTCAATAGAATAAGTATTTAATGTATTGTTTTATGTTATGACTATTAGTAGTACTATAAACACGTGCGGTCTCAAGGTTGCGTTTAAGTGTACTAGGTCATATGTGCCAGCTGAGTAACGCCTTTGTATTCTACTGGACTGGACCCTTAGGTGACTCGTAGTAGCCTTTAGAATTTATACCTTAAACTTATTAGGTTAAGATAGACTTTAAGTAACATTTAGCTGGACCTTAAAGTACAATTTTTATAGAAAAAAATAACTTGTAACTAAACACAGACATAATCCCAGTTTGATTTAGAAGATAAGATTTTAGCTCCTTAAGTTAAAAATTACGGTTCGAATTAATACGTTTTAATATTATAACCTAGTTAAACAGATTATAGGAGATTCTTCACACCATTTATAAATAAGCAATCAAGTATTTAATCATTGGCAGTCCGCATGAACGAGCGGTTTCATTAACCAATCACTTCGCTAATTGTTAATCTAAATTGAATACTGAATCACGTTTTAATCATTATTCTTTAATGATGTAGGGAATATAGCCACTGATTACTTAATGTGTCTGATAGTTGGTTAAGCTACTTAGATAGTTGTTGTTATTATTGTTTTTTGGACTAATAATAAATCATATTGTACACACAGATATACCCAGCAACGAACACAACAAAGCGGCCTCTAACGCGGCTGCAGGAGAGGCTGGTCCGCAAGCTAGGCGCGGCCGCCCATCCCTTCTACTTCGAACTGCCCCCGCACTGCCCCGCCTCCGTCACCCTCCAGCCCGCTCCCGGCGAGACAGGCAAACCATGCGGGGTCGACTACGAGCTGAAGGCGTTCGTCGCAGACTCTCAGGACGACAAACCACACAAGAGGTAGGTTGCCCGCCACAATACGTATATGTAGAAGACCAGCTCCTGATAGAGGAGTCATACAGTATTTGAGTGCCCCAGTCGTTGCTCCACGTTTGCTGATACACACCTCTTCTACTTTACGCCGTTAGCACGCCCACGCAGTCGGCTGCGAAAACATTGCGGAAGCAGACCAAAATGTTTGAACACGTATCACGTTTCGCACCGAAAGCGCAGCGGTAAGCGTTATTGTGCTAACGCCTTAAGCTTTGCTAGATAGAGAACTGCATTCACCGCGCTAGGGTGAACTTAGTGTTTTAATTAAAGGCATGCACGGCGCTCAGACGTTACAACGCTCGAATAAGTATAGAAAGGCTTGTGTAGAGAAAACTTTGGCCCAAAGGAAACATTTTCTATCTTTTCATTGTTTGTCATGCAGGAATTCTGTGCGGTTAGCTATCAGGAAGATTATGTATGCGCCGAGCAAGCAAGGCGAGCAACCTTCCGTCGAAGTATCCAAAGAATTTATGATGAGCCCCAACAAACTATATCTGGAAGCTTCCCTAGATAAGGTAACCCTGCGCGTTGTCAAATCACCCTCTAAAATGTGCTTCAATGCCTTTTGAATTAGATTAAATGAATGAGGCCTGTCGTATTATAACACCCAAGTAAAACATTGTTGTCCTGTCCAGGAGTTATACCACCACGGCGAGAACATAGCAGTGAACGTTCACATAGCGAACAATTCCAACCGATCGGTGAAGCGTATCAAGGTGTCGGTGCGCCAGTTCGCGGACATCTGTCTCTTCTCCACCGCGCAGTACAAGTGCACCGTCGCCGAGACAGAGAGCGAGTGAGTATCCACCTTTTTCCTATTTACATAACGTCTATTATTACTATTCAAACCTATATCTTCGTTTTGGAAGTCGAGGTACTTTCGACTTTATATCTATAAGTAATAGAGTTGAGCTATGTCCATTTGTTATTCAGGGAGCCCAAATCGATGTCGGCGAGACTATTTAAATTCCCCTTTATTGGGATATTCAATAAGAAACAATCTATGCAGTCCGTGTAAGTACAGCGTGCGTATGATGCATGACTTGTTTGCCCCCCTCCCCCCACCGCTTACTACAAAATGCCTTGAGATTATCACCCTTATCACCTATCGTGATACCAATATCACGAACGCAAATATCGTCTTTAATTTCTAGTTTATTTACGGCTGTCTAGCTAGCTGCCGAGCTGCTAATTTCGAGTTTTCAATGAAATGAAAATGGAATTAAATAAGAATTTACAAAATGAACAACTTTCTATTACAGACTTTTCTGATCTATTCGTGTCTGATCTTCGAAAATTTCAAATACATTGGGTCTTAAACTTTCCATCCTTTGGTAACGGTTCTTTTTTTTTCGAACTTCCAATTGTGTTTGCGTTTATAAGATTGTGGGAAACTGGCTCATGACTCACGATTCCCGATAAATAATAGAAACTATAAAAAAACCTAAAGATATTAACGGTTGTGGTGAATTTATTGACTTGTACTAACTATTCTTAACGAACTGCATTGATTATTTTATTGAGTATTTGTTTTTGTTTGACAAATAAAAGATTTTGTATACTTAAAAAAATTGTATACAGTCTAATCTGAACACCCACGATCCATTATAGAGTATAACGGGTATATATTGCTGGAGAAAAAGTTCACTTTCGGGATTGTGACGGGCAGAAGGAAATAATATCGTTGATAAAATTTTAGTACTATCAAAACCGACATTCGATGGCCTTGTATCTTAAATGCACGTGGGATGGGTGATGGTTATGGTTTGTATACTTTCTTCAATGTACAGCGACTTAATGCATAATACTCATGTAAGGGCTCCGTTTGGACTCGAAACTAGTCGGATATCATAAATTCGTCACGGGTGTAGACTGCATGGACATTATTAAATTTGGAAATTCTCATTATAAATAATCTTCTTTATTAGAAATGGTATCTTACTCAACAATATGTTAGTACAAATTTGAAATCTATTGAATTTTAAAAATATAATCACCTTTCATTACCTCTGTCGGATGTACTTTGCTATAGCATTTCATATACACCAAGAAATATGACATAATGTGGAATCTGATTATTTTGAACCAAAATACATCGACATACACACACACACATATGAAATTGGCCCAGTTTGCACAGTTTGTTTGAAGACTTAATTTTGTACACAGGGAGGGATGTCCAGTAGGCCCTGGGTTCACCCTGAGCAAGGTGTTCACGGTGACGCCACTGCTGGCCAACAACAAGGACAAGTGGGGCCTGGCACTCGACGGCCAGCTTAAACACGAGGACACTAACCTTGCCTCCAGCACGCTGTGAGTAACTCCCACTAAGATTCTACTCTTCGCAGATTAAGAAACCGACTTTGGCATCTGCTTCTCTTCAGGCCTCTGTGAATATTATGAATATGAATACAAATAAACATACATAATTATGAAGAAATTTTAGTGACATTTGGTGAAGGTGTATTAAAAATACATTTTTTTTGTTTTCAGCATCGCCGATCCATCGCAACGAGAAAATTTAGGCATCATAGTGCAGTATAAAGTCAAAGTGAAATTATGTCTTGGACCTCTTGGCGGGTAAATATATTAGTTTTTCCTACATTATACATATAAGTTATCCTTAATTATATCCAAATAATTATTATCATACTCCCTTTTGGTTAGCATATCACCTGTCCTCTTCTTTAAAGCCAAATATCGTTTGTCACACAATCCAACTTAGTTCGTATATTTCGGATATGTCCGATTGATTACGAGCTACCCAAAGGCCGTTAATAATGTGAGTACGCGGCGATGGCGATAGGTGCAAACGTTAAAAATGTGTAATTTATCATTATTTAAGGTGTAACTTTAAAATGGTTTGGTTATAGTGACCTGAGTGCGGAATTGCCGTTTATTCTGATGCACCCCAAACCCGAGGAAGAGCCACGCGCCGCCCCCGACGCCCCGCGCGTACAAGACCACGACCTCATCCAGCTAGACCCGCATCCGTAAGTACCACTTAACTCCACTACATACGAGACTATTGGATTGTTCGGTGTTTGAGTGTGTATGTGTGATTTTTCATCAGTCTAATGCAAACGTTTTGTCCCGCAGCGACGAGAACGGTCAAGAGCAAGATGACGACATAATATTCGAGGACTTCGCGCGGCTCCGACTGAAGGGGGCTGACGCGGATGCCTGAGACTCAGCTTCACCGACGGGGCGCGCGACTCCACCGGAGCTCTGGTTCTCGCAGATCACGACGATGCCGTCGCCTCTGAAAAAGCGGTCCTTCACTACACCGCGACCTCTCTGTCCACCCCGACCTCTCTCGATACCCTGGCGTTACGCGACACCCCGACTTGTTGCATCCCGCAACCCTTCTTCGGGTTATCAGTCTTTACCAAAACCCCAGTCTTTATCCACACCGCGATCTATCGCAATAATGAGAAATCGCCCAGCACATCAACTTCACGCTCCACCAAGACCTATCGACCTTAACTTGTCCCGAACTTTTGCGACACCTTCACAAGTATTGCCTCCTCCATCCAGTTCCAGTTCAACGTTTTCATCTTTATTTGCATTCTTAATGCTGGTGTTGGCATGGTATGATTATTTTTTGTCTGACTACTTAGACGAGCCACTTCCACCCGGACTCTTAGCGGAACTCCTGGCGTTTGCTAGTGCACACATGCGCTCGCCACCGCAGGTACCTGCGGCCCGGCGGGCCCGGCGCCGGCGGCGGCGCTGGTGTCGGCTTGGCTCGCCTGACGAGTAACGATGTCAAGGGGATGGCACAGGCTATAGCTTACGACCTGAAGTTACTTCTTAATCTACCTGAGAAGCAGCAAAAGGTTCTGGCCGGATGAGCTCGTACCATACAGTCGGCGCGGCGGTGAGGGCGTTTCACCCATACTGCCATAGCTGTGCTCGTTCAAAGGATTCCGCATCGCCAGCTACAGGATATAGCCAACGACCCCGATTTAGAGTTAAAATACACTGGTCACTTAAGTATGAGATCTGATCCCGATATTTTTAATTAATAAACGCGAAACTATTATAAAACATCTCCAAATTAAAGCCCCTTCATAACGTGGATGTCGAAGGCTGTCAAACATCAGCCCTTAATGTTTTAAAACGTGGTATAATCGGCGTTGGCAACTCATAATTTTATGTATTAGTGTCGTCAAAAAGAAACGAACGGAAAAGTAAATGCAGTCTGTCCATGAACATTTCAATCCCTGTACAGTGTATAAGTATGTATCGAGAGGATTTGACTATTCACCGTATGGTAGTGTGCGCGTGTACACACACTCGCGCACGAACAATTAGCGTTATATAATGAAAAGTTTTATATTATATTCGATGTATATTGTATGTGAAGAATTATTTTAATAGATGTCTATTGATCAAGTAAACGAGTACAATATAATTATTTGTCACTTTCATTGGCCATTGATTTTAGTAGTAGTACAATGTTCGACGAATGCATTTAATAGCGTAAAACGAGTGTTTACCTCTTAAACGTAATTTTACTTTTCGACGGTAGCGTTGTATGTGTTATTGTTGATGTTGGGAATAATACATTTACGAGATTGTGTTGACTTTGTGACCTTGAAGCTAGGTGCAGCGTGTACTAATACTTACTGTAATGGTACTGGAAATAACAACACTCTGAAGTCGGACGAGCTCTTCTGTGTGGCAGTTGTTGATGTAAAAATATATTTATTGTAATTCTTAAACGGAAGTAAGCTCGTCGTGGTCGTAATCAACGAAAGCTTTGCCCTAGTATCCTGTAGATGATGAGTGAGGGACGCTTTACGCACCTATTGTTAAAAGTTCACAAAGTCACCGCACCGAGGCGGGCGGTAGTGTCGTGAGTGACCTTTCTACCAATAGCCCACGACAGTGCTGCAAGTCCACCGTTTACCGTTAGCGTATTTAGTTAGATCTATGTGTTATATAAATTAGAGTGTGTTTCGTTTGTCATGTAAATAATTATATTACTGTTATAGACGTCACACGTTACTTTAAACGTTTCATGTGACTTATTATACATCTTTCAGTACAACGGCGACGATTGGTAATTTTATAACGATAGAGTTTCTGCCTTTTTTCAGCCTCTAATTTGTATGACACAGAATAATTCGTCAGTTGCTTGTTCAACTAACACTAACCACTACTTGCAGCTGGACCACTGTGCTAAACGAAGCCCATAGAAATGGGTCAGTTTTTGTAAATACTATGTAATTAATTGTTTCGGCATGCACCATGGTTGAACTATAAAAGCTGCTGTGTGAATCCTACAAGTACCTGGTTTACAAGCCAAAGGTGCCTATGCCAAGGTCTTATCCGTTCGTATACACAATCAATGGTATGATTTCAGGTCCAAAATCCTTGTAAAATAACGTTTTTTTATTGCCAGTAAGATTATCGCTTGCATATCTACAGACTAATAAGATGCAGCTCCCTTATACTACCGATGTATAAATAAAAAATTAACAAATAAATTATCTAGAACTATAATTTAGTGTATTTATGTTATAGGTTGACTCCGTCTGTGTAATAGATGGCGCGCTTGGCGTGACGTCACAGATTAAGTACCTCTGTTCAGGTCATAGGTAACCGCGGTCTTTAGGGATTGACTTCCAGACAGTATGTGCTTTTGGTGCATATTGAGGCCGGAGACTCAGTCCTATTTACCGAGTATATTTACTGAGGGGAAATGGTTCTGGTCCATTCTGAAAGGTCTTTATTAAAAAAAAGTTTTGATACTTTTTATATCCAAGGTAAACTAGAGTTGGATGTAATAGAACCTATGTATGGATCGAGGTATTGACGTGTCCGAATGTAGGTGGTACGGTATATAATCTGTGGTGGCGCCCCCCAGCGGCAAGTACACACTAACGTCTTATGATATTCGTTCTGTGACTATGTACATTAGTTTCGCTGTGTACAGTGTAATAGTTATGTATATTACGTGGCATGTTTCATTATATTAATAAGTTTTATGATGCACAAAAGTATTCTTCTCATTAACAGGCCGTAATTTAAAGAAAATCTATTGTTTGATAAACAAAAGAAACTACGCTCGTTTCTAAGTTTATTGTCAAAAATGAGTTAAACGAAATTATTCTTTTAAGTATGGATTTAACGGTTCGACGATAACTGCGCTGCGAGTCTCTGTTCTTACTGCTTGCTGCTATTAGTTCATTTCTACATAAATAGACTTTGAATGCATTAAATTATTCGGTGTTTCGGTTACTATCAAGTTGTATTATTTATGTATTTTAAATGTAAGTATTAAGTGAAAATAACAATATGTAATATTGATAGTAGGTGAACAAAATAAAAAGACGCGACACAGTGGAATTTACAGCCAACAGGTTTTATGGCATTAGCGTGGCCTATGCTGGCACAATACTCTAAGTACAATTAGCCAATTTTAATATACATAATTTATACTATTCAGAGGCTAATTTATACGTTTTCTTGCACAAGTACAACGCGCACGTTTTATGAAATGAACTTTTCTACTTGTCTACCATTGGCTGTAAAGATATCTCTGTACGATAAATATACTTAGCTAGAGTCCAATACCCAAAATGTATGTTGTAGGTGCCAGCCATACTGAAACTAATCAACATTTACACTTTAAACTTTACAGGCATTGAAATAAGGTAATTAGAAGTTTTAAGAAAGTTCCAATTATGGCTGGTGCTACACTATAATCCTGTGCAGAATTCATTCACTAATGTCAATCGCACATGTTCTTTTTTTTAATTTTACATCGAAACGTTTTTGATGTATACTTTTTTCAATAAATAATATGTAACCAATCAAGTGTTTGTTATTTTTCTCCCAAAATAAAATTACCCCAATGAAGAAAATTGTAATGGAGCCCGCTCAGCTGGGAAGGCCGAAGAACACTGTCAATTTGAATTTGTCAGATACTTACATGTGCATGAAGTTGTTGTAGTCCGAAAGTTGGAGATGGAAAATATTTCCTGCACTCTGGTACTCACGGCGGTACAATTTGTTCTATTGCCGCAAAAAGTGAGCAATGTGTAAACGGCACAGTCTTAGATAACTGGCAACGCTTGGCTCGTAAATCGCCGTGAGTGAATTTACCTGAGGCCCAATTCTCATCTACAACTCACCCCGAACGCACCCCCAATTCCGAAATCCCGACCGTCACAAAAGTTTTTACGCACTTGCAACCGCTCTGGCGTTCATGGGTGGCGCTGATTACTTACCATGAGATGAGAAGCACGTTCGATTCTTGGTGATTGAAAGAAATTAGAAAGCTAATCCTACCTACCTAATAGTACCGCTGGCTGGCTAATGTTCGCCAAGGCTACACGGCATGCGTACTCTACTCAAATACTCAATAACTCTACCTACTTTCTAAAATTGATTTACAACTTGTATTAATATCATGTTGGATCATATTAACCAAAAAGGTAGATTTTAAGTATTATGATGTAAAACAAATGTCCCACAAAACTATACACATAGTTTGTCTGTCTGATCAAAATTATTACTATATAAGTATTATTATCGTAAAGGGGATAATTTTTTGTTTATTGTTCTTTAAGTTAATGTAATAAGTAATTTTATTGTTAACTAGGACTTTGTTTTATGTATGTTGTATAACAAAATAAAAACAAGTCCATGAACGAATTAAGTAACTAAACGTACATGACATCCATTCATGTTATTTTATTATAATCTGTGGCAATTAAGCGTTGACGTTGTATAGGTTAGGATGTGTTTTTATTCTAAAAGATTTAATTTTATTATAATAAGCGAGTAATTTTAATTTGACCTGTATTAATTAATATTATTTATTAATTATAAAATGTCTGTGTGTGTTACGGAGTTATACAAATCCGGCTTATAAGTGTAAACAGAAATTTTCATTTTGATGTCGGCTATCGACAAACTGCTATTATTTTGCCTATAATTTGTCATCATGAGTTCTCGAGGGCTTTCGAAAAAGGAGTTAGAGGAGCTGAAAAAGAAAGAAGAGGAAGAGGCGGCCGCTCATGTAAGTATTGATGATGATACGTCATATACATGTAGACTCTTATACAGGGTAACTGATCAGACCCTGGATATTCTTGTTATGAGTACTATCCTCAAATTTGCTAGACTAAGTAAAGAGCATAAGAATAATTTAACACATTAAGTGCTAATGTAGAGTACACATAATACAAATTGGATGAATCTTGCACAGAGAAATTGTTAAATGTAAATTAATGTCTAGCATCTTGCCTCATCTAAATAACTTTATAATGTTTACGTGTAAAAGTGCTCTATTCTAGCCAAACCCGGAAATAAGTTTTGTTTCATTTGTTGAGACTTGAATATACACAACATAATGTTGGATGTTATGTATTTAATTTTAGGAATACTGTACTGTTGACATCAACAATGTTGATGTTGCTGTTATTGTTGTTTCTCTCAGCTTTCTTCAAATGTAGTCAATATGATTCTCAAGCCTCCTACCTATAGTCATTAAAATCTGTACTTACTTTTAAAGCTGAAGAGTTTGTTTATTGGTTTAAATGTGTTAATCTCTAGGACCACTGGTGCAAGTGAAACAATTCTTTTTGTGATGAATAGTCCATTTATTGAGGAAGGCTATAGACTATAAAACTTTACTCTACAACAAATAGGAGGCAAGCAGCAGATGAAACTCATGAGTGTTAGCTAGTAATACCATGGAATGCTCCATTGACATTTACAATATTATATTTAGTAATAAGTAAGAATTTTTATAAATAGGTACATATATTTTTTTGGATTTAGCATTGTTAACCTCTTTCCTGCCTGAGGAATCACATATGACTCATGTCTATTGTTAAACTATTCTGTCTATTTAGGGGCAGTGTAAGTTTTAAACTTATCATATTTCCAACAGGTATTCAAGGAGTTTGTGGAAACATTTCAAGAGGTGCCCAGCACCACAAGTAAGGTCTGGGTGAAAGCAGGCACATATGATGCGGGGGCAAGAAGTAAGTATGACACTGATAGAGAAATTGTTTAATTTTTCATAATGTGTGTACTGATAAGTTTTACCCATCTTTTGTCATTATTGTGTTGCTTCTTAGATCTGTGCCAATTAGCTTTTCAGATCTGGTAGTTTTTGTAAGATCAGTTCAGTTATGGTTCACAATCTAGCAAAAGAGAGTTGTAATGGGAATTGAATGGCAATAAAATATGTGTGTGGGTGTGACTATTCATTTCATTTTATATTTTCTTCTTTAATATCTATAGGTTTACATTAAAGAATGTAAAATGATATAATACTATTATGAGTATAAAGGTCTGAGCCATATACTAGATGAATGGCAAGATTCTGCTAATATAGTCATATTCTAATCTTTTAACTAAAAATGCAAACCTTCATAATGTCGAATGTAACAGGTTAACATGAATTACAATTAAGTATTGTAACAAATAAATATATTTAATTTCCAGAGGAAGACACCTCTGAGAGAGGCAAGCTTTACAAGCCAGTATCTCGCTTGGATGAAAAAAGGAGTATACCAGACATTGACCCAGTCCGGACTCTAGTACAAAGGCCTGAGCCTCCAGGCAGGCCTCATGCTAAGAAGAAAGGACAGGACAAGAAGAAAAGCAACCTAGAGTTATTTAAAGAGGAATTGAGACAGTGAGTCCTAATTTATACTAATATTATGAAGCTCATGAGTTTGTTTGCTTGAATCCACTAAACTCAAGAACTAATTTATGTTTTTTTAATATAAAAAACACATTAAGACCAATAGCAGCCTATGATCATAAATGGGTAGGCCAAGGTGTACATATCAAAATGCAATATCTACTTTTCAACCACTCTTTTTTTGGAATTACCATTAAATGACTTTTTCAAAGGGTGACAGGGAATGACAGACTCTATTCCTTCTGCTCCCAACCGGGCCCTCATAATGAAATATAAAAACTATATATATTTTAAAATTGAAAACTAAATAGATTAGTTATCACAACCATCAAATCTTGATAGATGATTTTCTTATTAAATTTGTATATCACAGGATACAAGAAGAAAGATCGGAGCGACACAAGTATAAGAATGTGTTGCGTGAGCGCGGTGTTGTGGGGGTGGAGCCCTCACTCGACATTATACCAGATGTGGGGTCATATGACACTGGGGACCCCAACACTACCAACTTATACCTTGGCAATCTCAACCCTAAGGTGAATAATTTCTAGAGAATATAAGAAAATATTGTAAAACGGGTATTAACGCGAAAAGGAATTTGTTTACAAACATACAATTTCACATGCACATCACACCCAGACCCGGAACAACAATCAGTTGTTCCGTGCGGGAATCGAACCTGCGGCACGTTGCGCGGCACCCAGTTGCCCAGCCACCGCGCCAACCGTGCACTCAAAGTCGAATTATTTTGAGACCATGGAAGGCATAACGTTTCGAGTTCGACCTGTCGATATTTAAATCAATATAATGTTGTTTATGTACTTGGGGCACACAGTGTGCCGCACACTTATTAACACATTCAGTGCCCCCGACGCGTATGTGCGTTTCCTCGCACGCACATACGCGTCGGGGGCACTGAATGTGTTAAGGGTTTAACACTTTTGATCGTAAAATAATCACTTTGATTGGAAATGTCTTCAAAGTACCTCTACTTACACAGCAATGGTGTCTCCACTGGAACACTCTTCCTCAAAAGTCAAAAGTTTTTGGTATTGCTAACTGTATGACGACTTCTGTCCTCCTATGAATGATTTAAAACTCTTTCTAGAAAGATACAACAATGTTCTAGACTTCTATAGAATATATTCAAATAATTGTTAAATTCGAAAAAAATATTTTTCTTTTAGATTACAGAGCAGCAATTAATGGAGATCTTTGGTCGGTACGGTCCCCTAGCCAGTATTAAGATCATGTGGCCACGGTCTGATGAGGAGAAGGCTCGAGGTCGGAACTGCGGGTTCGTGGCATTCATGTCGCGCAAGGATGGCGAGCGAGCGCTAAGGTGTATTAATGGTAAGAAGTTGTTATATAATTCAAATGAGACTATTATTTGATGGCTTTATCTTGTTAAAAATAGCTGTTAAAGCTTAAAACTATGGTATGTTATACCATAGTTTTTAAAAGTAAGACTTATTGTCAATGTGTTTTAAGTAAAAGCTATAGTTAAGGTACACTTATGACCATAAAAACCTTGTATGTATTAGAAATAAAACATTGTAAACATACCTTAAATCATTCTTTATCAAGCGAGTAGAAACCTGTTATGATGTTCAAAGTGCGTGCCCGAAATCTTCTTATGTATCAAAAGTATTCTTGTGTATATTATATATCCTCCTGTCGGTAACTGCAATTCACAAATACTTATTACAATATTTTTATGCCCAGGAAAAGAAATAATGAACTACGAGATGAAGTTAGGTTGGGGTAAGGCGGTGGTGATCCCCCCCGTACCCATCTACATCCCGCCCGCCCTGCAGCAGCCCACCAAGCCGCCGCCGCCCTCTGGACTGCCCTTCAACGCACAACCACCCAAACATCTCTTCAATAAGGTAATTACAATAATTATAATGTGTATGTGAAATTGTATGTTTGTAACCGCACCCACGACACAGGAGAAATCAAAGAGGGGGGAAAAGTTTTTGTTTAAAAAAATATGTACATAACATAATAATAATAATAATAAGCCCGCAGGGCACCTTGAGGCGAGGTGACGGGAATTAGCGATCCCGCGGGCTACCATCATCCCGATTGCTCCAGGGAGAAGTCACCGTTCCTCATCTCCGGCTTGCCTTCATTGGCTGGCCGAAGTGGACGATGACGAGGAACAGGTCTCCCACCTCTGGCTTGCCTTCATTGGCCGTCCAGAGTGGAGTCGCGAGAGTAGTGATCCTGCTCGGAGGGTGGAAGCTGTTCGTAAGCGGCGAGTGGGCCAGTGATGCAGGATGCTTAGGCAGATGCAGATGATCTGAGTAGAAAGCTGGTGGCAGTTTCTTCACCCTTCAGCCACTCACATTTCCGTTGTCCCTCTGTTGCTATTACTAGCAACCATTCCCGGGGGCCCGGTCGGTGAGTTGGCGAGTCTCCACCTGCCATTTTTACGTGTATTTATTACATTGTTTCGGCAGGTGCCATAGTCCTTCCATAGTTCCCATCATACCAGTCCATAACAACCCACACCCATAGTCTTATCCCTTGTTTCCATTATCCGCAATAGTCCTACACTAACCGGAGACTGTCCTTGGGTGCATTTCCATAGTGCATACAGGGATAGTCGCCGGTTAGTGTCCCATTTCATTTAGATTAAAGTTGTCTAAAGGGCCTCTGCGCAGTTGGCTCCGGCCCCTCGTACGCCTTCCAAATGACCGGGACCCTGTGGTCCCGTGATTGGTAAAGACATACAATTAATAATAATAATAATCTTTATTGTTCAGAAAAGAAACACAGTTACATCAATTAAATCACTGGTCTCCACACTAGGATTCCCTGTGTCGTGGAGGCCAGTCTCTTTCATCTTGGTTCACAAAAACAAAATAGATAATATAAAGATAATACAGAAGAAAAGTTAAATAAGTATTATATGGCATCTTGCAGTGAGAGTGTGCGAAGGTAAGAAATAGTGTGGTGTGTGTGTGAAGGTGAGAGTGTGTGTGTGTGAGGGGGTGTATGTGTGTGAGTATGTGAGTATGTGTGTGTGTTATGATGTATGTATGTAATTGTGTGCGCTCATGTAATGTTTCCAATAATATAAATTTTAAAAAGTATCAGTTAGTAATTTTTCTGTGTCATCATAATCCAAACTTTTTATGTAATTTTTGATGTGAGTTTTACATTTGAATCTCGTCATAGGTAATAAATTAAGTTTGTTGTTGAGTTTATTATAAAGGAATGGACCCATATGGTGAAAACACCTTTTTCCAAAACCAAGTCTACATTTTGGTTTACGCCATTTAGGTTTCCTCTGTGAATATGCTTTGGATTCCACTTTGACCAGAGCCTCTTTATGGAATTTCATAACTACGGCCATAATATATATCTGTCGTACGCGCATTGCGCCAGTCTCTTTATATAGGCTATTCGTTGGGAATCGCCTTGGTTTTTTATAAGCTACCTTAAGGATGGCCCGCTGTGCACGTTCTACTTTTATCATATGTGTCTTTAATGCAACTCCCCAGGCGGTTATACAATAAAGAAGAAGAGATTCGCACAGAGTGTGATAAATCATCTTTAAAATGTTTATGTTCGTGATCTGGCCCATTCTTTTAAAGATATGTAGTAGTTTTCTAACACGTCCACTTACATGCTCTATTTGCTTTGTCCAGGTGAGGTTTTTATCAATGAGAACTCCAAGATATTTTATATAAGCTACCTGTTCAAAGCATGAGCAAGAACATTCGGGGTCTGGGCTGCCATGGCAGGAATGCAATGTAATAGTTAATTGACCTGGACAGGTGTCTCTTGCGCCGACACTGAAATTTATAACTTTCGTTTTTTCCACATTTAGTGTCAGCAAATTGTAATTTAGCCATTGTGCAACCTGCTTTACGCCAGCCTCAGCCACCTCGTAAACAGCTTCCCACGTCCTATCATAAATAATTATAGCTGTGTCATCAGCGTAGGCAAAAATTTTTGCCTTACTGAGTGTTAATGAGCAAAGGCTATTAATATATATAATGAAAAGAGTAGGACCAAGCACGCTACCCTGCGGCACACCGTAGTTAAGGTTATTATAAGAACTGTGGTTATTACCTAATATCAATCTTTGTGTGCGATTGCTAAGGTAGGATTGGAACCACTCAAGAGCAATGCCACGTATTCCAATGCCTTCAAGTTTTTTTAAAAGGATGCTTCTAGAGACGGTATCAAAGGCTTTCGCCAGGTCTAGGAAGATTCCAGTGCACTTGTAACCTTCATCTAATTTAGTGACAACAAAATCTACTAGATCTGTAACTGCATCTTCTGTTGACCTGTTCTTGCGAAAACCGTATTGATTATCTGATAGGATACCGTTCCTTTCAAGGTAGTTAAGTAGTCTGGTATTCATGATCTTCTCGAGGATTTTAGACAGCGACGTGAGAAGGGAAATGGGACGATAATTCGATACTACTGTCTTATCACCAGACTTGAAAATGGGGCAGACATTCGCCATTTTGAGAGTTGTTGGCACTATTCCAGAGGAAATACTTAAATTGCACAAATAGACAATCGGGGGGATAAGATGAAGTTTGTTTATTTTAAGAACTTTGTTTGGTATGCCATCCCAGCCAGGTGCTGAGGCATCTTTTAGATTTGAGATTATCTTATTGACTTCGAAACTGTCTGTTGGATTTGCATAAAATGAGTTAACTGGGGATGAGTTGTCATATATTTCACTGGTCAGCACAGCTAGTTGGGATTCAGTTTTATTAAAAATTGAAAGTGTTTTTTCAGCAAGGTTCTCACCAACAGATGTGAAAAAATTATTTGCCCTATCTAGAGAGTCTTTGGGATCAGGACAGGCATGTAGTAGTTCTAAGTTATTTGTCTTATCCTTTTTTATGTTACATATGCTTTTTATTGCTGTCCATGTCTTCTTACTGTCACCTGTAGAATCTTCTAAAATGTTTCGGTCATGGTCATCTTTTAAATTTTGTATTATATTATTGCATATATTCCTATACTTTTTGTATCGTTGCTGTATTGTGGAATTATCTTTATTCTGTTTTTTGCCTGCTTCCATATGTAGGAGATCTCTTTTTCGGATGCATTTAATTAATCCTTTCGTCATCCAAGGCTTTCTTATTGTTTTTGAGTTACGGCTGGTCTCAACAGTTGTGTGATTTTGTATTGTTGTGCTTAATGTTTCAGTGAAATCAGAAAAAGCTCTATTGACATCATTATGCTTATACACAAAATCCCAATTTTTGTTTTCAATGGCCTTTGATAAATTTATGTGGTCAATTTTAATTTTAATTTTTGTATCGGTCGAGATGCGCGAAGTTTCTTTAGCGATTCCAGTAATAATCGTGTCATGATCAGTTATACTCGAGCTGCATAGAATAATCTTTACTGATTTCTTCGACTTTATCAAGACGTGATCTAAGCACGTATGGTCATGGGTAGGATAATGATGTCCCGGATAGAAGCCATAGTGACCGGTCGTTTCCAAATATTCGCCTGCACGTCTGTCCCTGGAATCAGGGGAGATATCAATGTTGATATCCCCCATTATAATACAGTTGGGACTTTTTAAGCCTTGCATAATCTTTTCTAGAGAGTCGCAGAAATTACTAATATTGTAAAATGATGGAGATCTGTATATAGCACAAATTGTATATACTTTGTCAATGTGGATAAGTAAACAGTTTGCTTCCTGAAAAGAGGGCTCCTCAATAGTCACCTGTAGATTATTTTTATATAAGACAGCAATTCCATCATTTTGATTTAAATATTGTTTAGAATAGTGGCACACATAATTATTAAGATATACTAAGGGTGTTGTATCAGTTAATCGACACTCAGTTAGGATAATTACGTCAGGCAGAAAATGTAATCTACTCAAAAAAACCGAGAAGTTGTCAAAATTTTTTTGTACACTACGAATATTTTGGCATACTATTATAAGTTGCGTTTTAGGATCACCAATATCTAGTGAACATTCTTGTGGAGTATTACGTTTGGTATTAAAGTAAATATCAGTCTTGTCAATGTCTTTAATCACACTATATTGGTTAGCCATATTTAATAGTTGTAAAAAAAGGTTGGATTGTAACATTGCGAAGGATTGTTCTCAATTGGATATCATAAATTATCTCGGAAGCAGATAGCGTATGAGTTACAGCGTGTAATGTCAAGGAAACATATGTGTGATGTGTATAATTAATTAAGTGTAAGTGATGTGTAAAGTGTATACAGTTATTAAAACATAGTGTGTAAGGGGTTATATTGCAAGTGGCCATGATGAAAAGCATGTACAACGTCAGTATATAGGGTATTTTATCTACTGAAATATCTAAATTATATTGAAAAAAATTAGTTATTAATTTTGTAGGATTCCCGTAATTGCTGAAAGATGTTTTCGTTTTTAACAACGGTGTATTTATCGCCTTCCTTTTTACGCAGAAAGATACGTCCGTTCGCAATCCAGCAATATTGGAAGTTTTCTGTTCTAGCGAAATCGCGAGCAAGAAAAAGAAGTCTTTTAGCCTTAGAGGTTAAATGTTCTGAGACAAAAAGTGTCATTTCAGAGCCTTCTAGACCAAGATGTTTTGTGTTTAGCTGACTGTCTGGGTGGGAGATATTGTATTGCTTTATGAGTTTTAAAAGTTTGTCTTTCGCAAAGGTACTGGTAAACTCAGTAACAACTGAGGAAGTTGTTGCATTCGCCTTCGATGGCAGTCTGTAGATATCTTTAATTTCATTATAAGAGCAATCACCTCCCACGCTTTTAACCAGACTGGTCACCATGTTAAGTAAGTCTTCTTTTTTTTCCTTTCTCTTTTTCGGTACACCTCTGATTTCAAGACTTGTCTTTCTGATCACTCGTTCTAGTCCCTCAAATCTTTCTTCCAATTCTTCAATTTTTGCACGTGTATTCATCCTTTCCCGGTCTAAGCTGTCAATCTTTTTGTCTAGGTCCTTTACTTGAGCCGATAATTCTTCTAACGATTTTTCAATTTCATCAGTACATGATTTTATGCCAATCTTTATATCGCATAAACCCTTTTCTAGATTGTCTAACTTCGCAAGACCCTTATCAAGTTTCTCTAGTTTTTTATCTTGTTGTTTCATCCAAGTTGAGAGCATTTCCTTCATCTCTTCTCTAAAAATGTCGAAGGTACTGCACTCATCATCGTCCTCTAATCGGACACGTTTAGAGTTTGATCTCATTGTAATGTTAGGGGCAGGTGTTGACGCAGTTATGGGTCTATTTAAGTTAGTGTCTGAAGACGACAATCCTTTCGGTGGTGTGCAAATCGGGTTCATAATGAAATAAGTTTAAAACTCACGTTTCCAGTATGCAGGTTTATTCTTAGAAACTGGCGCGTAGCACTAGTAGGCGGGTTCGACTGTTTCTTCGTAGCTCGTAGTACGTGAAGTTTGTAGCCGGCGTCTACGTCGTCATCGAGCGCAGCGAGACAGAGAGGGCAATTATGCGGGCGGCACTCCTCGCACAGGCACTCTGCGTTCGCCAAGGTCGGACTTGCCTTTCACTTTTGCTACACTGTTAGTACTTAATTGCGAGTTTATTGACTTTATTATAAGATATACTTTAGAATAACTGACGATTAAATTTGCGACAATATTTTAAATAAAAATTAACAACACGTCTGCTCAGTAAGGCAACATGGACGAGAGGATGGAGGAGAGGAACAATAAAGAATAAACAAAATATTTTCTTTCACTTGAGAGAGTCTAACGACAGAGTTACCTCGGACTCACAGAATACCGGCGTGAAGCGTTACGTTACGTTGTTTCGCCGTGTCTGTGAAGTTACCGGAGGCCCAATCCCCTCCCATCCTCAATGTTCAAATCCCCTATCTTTAAATCCCCAATATCCTACAACAGGCCAGCAACACACTTATAATAAATAAAACTCCTTTGCTATTACGAGTGTCTATGGGGGGCGTCGATTGCTTACCATCAGGTACTTTATATGTTTGTTTGCCAACCTATGCCATTAAAAAAACCAGCGTCAATAAACGCCTGCGTTGTGTTTCACCGTGTAAGTGAGAATACTAGAGATTCAATCCCCGTCGCCTCGACCCCCATCTCTAAAAGTCATTTGTTCCTCTGGCTCTGTAGTTGGCCATGGACATTATGTATGTGGACTAACTAAAAAAAATAATAATAAAATCAAGACAATCAAGACATGACACAAGCAGTAATAATTGAACAAATATCTGCAATGAAATGCATACAATAGCTGCTTTCTATTTATTTGTTGTTTTATTATGTTGTATGTCCAAGAAAATGGTACAATGTATACAACTCTTAAAACAAAGGTTTAAAGTTCAGTTTTGTTTAATTTCAGATACCTAGAGTGAGGCAGGGAGAGTATTACCCAAGCGATCCAGATGATAAGAAAGCTTATGAACAGGTATTATAATTTTTTATGTTACATTGTACTTCAATATTCAAAATATAATAATGAGTATTTTGGCTCTTTCCTACGACTGAAAATACCAATGAAAGAAAAAAAATGACATTTAGACCCGCTACAACAATTTGTTAATCACACAAAGAGTTGTTTTGTACGATAATCAAAGGAGAATTGAAATAGAAATTCCTACTTGAACATTATGTAAAATTAATTGTATAATGAAACGTAAAATTCTTGTTAGTCACTATTACAGTTGTCTGTTTCTTTTAAAAACTTTATTTTTATAAAAAAATATGTTTTATCCAATAATGTCACGAAGCCATCAAGTGTGCTACACGTACCGTTATTATTACCATGGCAACTCATTCAAATATTTTCTTTACAGATATTGTCTCAGTCAATAGTCAAAGTAGTTGTTCCTACAGAGAGGTAAGCATTCAAACATATATTATCTGTTGTAAAAATCCAAATTAGCCTATAAGACCTTCAAAATAAGGTGTGATGTTGTGTTGATTTGTTTTTATAAACTTTCTATAAAGTGATTTTATTTATTGGAATATAACTCTTAACGTCTTAACAATAAAATTCAATATTTAAATTTTCCAGAAACATACTCATGTTAATACATCGTATGGTGGAGTTCGTGATCCGCGAAGGTCCGATGTTTGAAGCCATTATAATGAACAAAGAGATAAACAACCCTTTCTTCCGGTTCCTGTTCGAGAACCAGTCGCCTGCGCACATCTACTACAGGTGGAAGCTGTTCTCTATGCTTCAGGGAGACTCGCCCAAACAATGGTCGCTCGAAGACTTTAGGATGTTTAAAGGTGATATTTTATTAAAATTGCCAGCTCAATTTACTCGTGATCTTGTATTATATGAAGAGCCACAATTAAGACTTCGCTGTTTTCCTAACAATATGTTGCTAAAATTGCAAGGGGATTGTTTGATAAATTTCACAGTTGGAATTGAATTAAGGATCTTATGCTCGTAGATGATATTTTAGTATAATGTACTGTGTAGCGGTAATGGTACGAAAATATCACCAGAATAAAGCCGTACTATGATTTTTACTTATTCTAATGATATGTCGATGAATAGGAGGGTCTGTGTGGCGGCCGCCAGTGATGAATCTCTACACGGCGGGAATGCCCGACGAGCTCGTCGAGGAAGATGAGGCTAAGGAGAATATACGGGGGACGCTATCTAACAAGTTAGTAATATAATATAACATATTTTATTGTTTCATTTTATATTTTTCTTTAAATACTATCTTTCACAATATTCTTGGTATTTATACATGTATGTGGCAAATGCTCGTTAACTTCCTGGAAAAAGAGGGGCTATTTTTGATGAACTCCTTCTTTAAAAAGCAGCCCCAACGGAAGTGGACGTGGCGGAGCCCCGACGCTATGACAAAAAATGAAATAGACTTCATTATGACGGACAAGAGACGAATATTTAGAAATGTCTCAGTGATCATTAGGTTTAATACCGTAAGTGATCACCGACTTGTGCGATCCCCCAAAACATCAATTAATATGATTCCGAGCGTGTCTGTCTCATGAAGTCTACGCTACGACCAAACTTGCTCCAAGCCGTGGTTGGGTCTGAAACATTTCAGTTAAAACTGGAAAACCGATTTGCTGCCTTGGAAACCTCAAATGACATTGATATCGACCAGGAACTTGACCAAACAGTAGAGATCCTCCGGTAGAAGGGACGAGATTATGGCGGAAGCAGAATACCGGCAGGGGCGCCAATCTTTCGGGAGAGTGCCTACAGGTTATGGAGAGGCGACGTAACAACCCATCGTCGCTTCGTCAGATCTTAATAAAAAGATCTCAAAGCTGATAAGACGTGATCCCCGAAGCGCCAATACCCGCGCTATAAAAGAGGAGATTGAGCGAAAGCGGGGGTCAAAAGTCTTCAGCCAGAAATTAAATCGAAGCCATCTGACGAAGTTGACCTCACCGGATGGTAATATCGTCTCTTCTAAGACGGAAATTCTCGGGGAAGTCGGTCTCAAAAGCACCGCGTCCATATCCAGACTCGGGGGATCCTAGGGCTACGCTTATCCGCCACTTTACCGAAGACATGCCAGAGATCAGCCAAGACGAGATTGCGTTGGCTTTGGGGCAGCTTAAAAATGGAAAAGCCCCCGGAGAGGATGGAATTACAACGGAGCTCCTAAAAGCCGCAGGAAAGCCAGTGCTTGAGCGACTTAAACGCTTGTTTGATTCCGTTCTATTCTCGGGGAGAACTCCAAGGGCGTGGAGCAAAAGTGTCGTCATTATGTTCTTCAAAAAGGGAGACAAAACCCTTCTGAAGAACTGTCGACCTATTTCTCTTCTGAGCCACGTCTACAAGCTGTTTTCTAGGGTCATAACAAATCGTCTCGCGCGAAGACTCGACGAGTTTCAGCCCCCTGAACAGGCCGGGTTCCGAGGGGGATATGGTACCGTGGACCACATACATACAGTGAGGCAGATTGTACAGAAAACCTAAGAGTATAATCTGCCCTTATGCCTGGCGTTTGTGGACTACGAGAAAGCCTTTGATACTATCGAAACCTGGGCTGTTCTGGAGTCTTTGCAACGGTGCCAAGTCGACTGGCGGTATGTTCAAGTGTTGAGAGATCTATATGATGCTGCCACTATGGTCGTTCAAGTACAGAACCACAGTCTGAACCTATCCACCTGCATCGGGGCGTAAGACAGGGGGACGTTATTTCCCCCAAACTGTTTACTAATGCTTTGGAGGATATGTTCAAGACGCTGCGCTGGAAAGGCCGGGGCCTAAATATTAACGGCAAGTATCTCTCACACTTGAGATTTGCAGATGATATTGTAATCGTGGCTGAAACCGTGCAGGACTTACAATGTATGCTGAACAGCCTGGCTGATTCCTCTGCTCGCATCGGACTCCGGATACCTACAAAAAACAAAGGTCATGTTCAATGAACATGTTCTCCCGGAGCCGATCACCATCAATGGATCTCCTCTCGAGATTTTTCAAGAGCAAAGGTTGTGCAAGAGCACGTCTACTTCGGGCAAACTATCCAGTTCGGTAGAAACAACTTCGAGAGGGAGGCTCGTAGGAGGATACAGCTTGGCTGGGCAGCGTATAGGAAACTCAGTCGGGTATTCTCGTCAAAGATACCGCAAAGCCTGAAAACGAAAGTCTTCAATGAGTGCGTCCTACTAGTGATGACATACGGAGCCGAGACGTGGACACTTACAGTGCGACTGATCCACCAATTTAAAGTCGCTCAGCGAGCTATGGAAAGGGCTATGCTTGGAGTCTCTCTGAAGGATCGTATTCGAAACGAGGTGATCTGACAGAGAACTAAAGTTATCGACATAGCCCAAAGGATTAGCAAACTGAAGTGGCAGTGGGCAGGTCACATCTGTCGAAGAACCGATGACCGCTGGAGTAAACGTGTTCTAGAGTGGAGACCACGTCTAGGCAAACGTAGTGTAGGGCGCCCTCCAGCTAGGTGGACTGACGACATCCGCAGGGTGGCTGGCAGTGGTTGGATGAGAAGAGCTGAACATCGAGCTCAGTGGCGTGCAATTGGAGAGGCCACTGCTGGACATAAGTCCAGCAGTGGACGACAACAGGCTGATGATGATGATGATACATGTATGTTAGTGATTTGTTATCTTGTTTGGAAGATAACAAATCATTGGTTTATGGTGAATGCAAAGTTTAATTTGGCTGTGTTAGTGTTTGTATTGTTTTTTTGTTTTACTTATTTGGTGCTATGTCGAATTTCGGAGCCGTTCGTTGGTTTTTAAGATATATAATTATACTTTATTGTTTTTGTCTATCCTTTTTTACGAATGTTGTAAAACTAAAGAGTTTGTTTGAATGCGTTATTCTTTTGAATTTTTGTTGGAATTAAATAATTATGTTTGTGTGCGATAGTTTATTTTTTTAAGTAGACTAAAGGCACGACTAAAGCGAGTAGCGAGTAAAGTGGTGCGGGAGTAGCAGAAGTGTTTATGAGCGTGTGTTATATTGCAGCCAGCGCGACCGTCTGGAGGAGTTGATCCGCGGGCTGTCCCCGTCCCGCAGCAGCGTGGGCGCGGCCATGGCGTGGTGCCTGGAGCACGCGGAGGCGGCGCGCGACGTGGCGCGCGTGCTGGGGGAGGCGCTGGCCGGGCCCCGCACGGCCCCCGCGCGCCGCGTCGCCAGGCTCTATCTGCTCTCCGACGTACTGCACAACGCCGGCGCCAAGCTCACCAACGCCAGCGCATACCGCAGCGCGTCAGTAACGCATACAATACTTCTTACTAATATCGATATCGATAATCGCCTACGTTTCGATTAATATCAATAATCAACACAACCTCTCTCTCTCTCTCTTATAGACTAGCCTCTTTAAACCCATAAACTGTTCAATTGTACTGTGCAATTTAAAGCATTATTAACAAATATTTTTGCTTGTAACGTTGGCCAAACCTATGGAACAAGTCTCTTGCTTGTAACGTTAGTCAAAACTGGAACAAGTCCTATGCTTGTAAAGTTAGCCAAAACTGTGGAACAAGTCCTATGCTTGTAAAGTTAGCCAAAACTGAAGCAAATTCCTTATAACGTTACTCAATAAACGATACCCACATTTTTAGGTTCCAACAACGTCTGCCAGAGATAATGCGCAACTGTCACCTGGCGTGGACACGGATGACGTCACGCCTGCAGCAGGAAGGGTTCCGTGCTCGAGTGACGCGTATACTGCAAGCCTGGGCCGACTGGGCGGTGTACCCTACAGACTTCTTACTGCATATTAATGATATCTTCCTCGGACAGGATAAGGTAATACACGTAATGTTTTTTTAGTTTAATAATGTCAGTCAAGTTTCAACATTAAATTTCCATGCGCAAAAAATACTTTTGGAAAGTAAAAAAGACGTTTTTGTTAGTCTGTCAATTAATCTAATTGATGTTCATTCCAAAGTATATTTTTTGGTTGTGTTCCATAGTACATAATATAATCACTTTTCTTTTTTTACCAGGAAACAGACACAGTACCAGGCATGAGCAACGAACAGGAGGAGGGCGGAGCGTCGGAAGAGGGTGCATCCCCCGCGCGGTCCTCCGCGTCGGAGGAGTCGTGGGAGGCGGCGGGCGGCGGCGGGCCGCTGGACGGCGCCGCGCTGCGCCGCCTCGCCGCCGAGCGAGCCAACCTACTGCCCGCCCGCGGCCTCGCCCGCCCCGCCCCGCACTCCCTGCCCGCGCCCGGGCCCGACCTCACTGACGACATCGATGGAGTACCCGGTATGTTACTTGTCTTCTATTATCTTTAATTAGTCATACTAATTATTGTATCACTAGAACTGTCAATGTCAGTGTCATCCTCGAGTATAAATAAGATGGTCGAGACAGTGTCTGGTACAGTGAGCTGCCCGACTGTGTGCTGTGGTATTAAAGTCAAGTAAACAAGATCCAAGTCTTTTATTCATATTACAAGATGCACGAAGTGACGCTTCTCATAAACATTTTAAACATTAAATCATAAACTAATACATTCTCATAATTTATTAGTTTATGATTTAATGTTATAATATATTTATGTATTGTATTCTCTATGGGCCTCAGATGCCTGACTTAAATAAATAAATAAAAAAAAAACCATTTCTTATGAAAGTCATAAAGTAGGAAAAAATATAATATCGCAAGAAATACCATAGCGGATCAAATGTTCCATCAAGTTGGCAGCCCAAATGACGTCCAGTAAATGTATCTATGTTTTAAGATTTATAGCATTAGAACTAATGACAAATCGAATTCGATTCTGTCAGCTTTATCAGGTAATAGCGCTAACTTTATCATCACTATAATGCTGTAATTCTCCAACAGTGGACGAAGACATAGACGGCGTTCCTTTAGAGTCGGACAACGGGCGCGCTCGAGCTGGCGGTACGTTCGTCCCCTCGCGGTGGGAGACTGTGGACACCGAGCCACAGGAGGACCCGAGTGCGAGGGACGCGAGGGACACAAGGGACTCTAGGGACACACACAGTGACGACGACACTCCCGCACCCAACACGCCCATCTCACAGCAACAACATGATAGGTAAATAATAAATGCTAGTTTCTGTAAGTGGCTACCCCTAAGTAAAAAGTACAGACTTTAATTACTAATTAAGCTTATTTTCTTTGATAACCTTTAACGTGGAATAATGTTAGATTATTACTCTTTGACATATCTCAGTGTCTCTCAAGTGACTCCGATTTTGTTAGTAGTCTATTGTCGGTTACAGACACATTCGGCCATGTCGTTTAAAAAATGAAGGTAGTATGATAGTTGGATAAGGTAATAGATAGGTAGGTTATACTCTTGTTATTATAATAAGCACTTAAACTTCAGACACATCTTAAAATATTCCTTAATTCCATTCCTAGCGAGGAGCAGGCTCTAAAGCGCGAGACTCTCCGCGAGATCGAGGTCCGGGTACTGAAGTACGCGGACGAGCTGGAGGCCGGCGTCCGGGGGCGCAGGCCTGGGCTTACTACCGCACAACAGATACAGCACTACCGAAGGAAACTTATCAAGAAGGTAATATACCACATACTTATAATCTTTTTTTTCGATTTATGCACTTGATATTCTACAAAAGCCGACCGAGCAGGCATTCTCATTATTCCAACCCTTAGGACATAATCATGGCCATTAAAAGACATTGGCTGGGCAACTGGCTGCCGCGCAACGTGTGACGAGTTCGATGCCCGCACGGAACAACTCTTTGTGTGATCCATAAATTGTTGTTCCGGGTCGGGATGTGATATGAATGTGAAATAATTATGTGTTAGTAAGCGCATCCACTACCCAGGAGAAAATCCTAGTTAGGGGGCAACGCTTTTTTAAATTAACAAATAAATAATTAAATAATAAGAAAACTTTTACCTAATATTCTTCTGCAAACTTTTTTGTCACTGTCTCCAAAATCGATTTCTTGTTAGGTTATTTTATAACGTATGAGTTGTTATATCCATTTATTTGCAGGCGTCGAGAGAGGCCAAAGAGGCAGTTGAGGAAGTGAGGGAGTCGCCGGAACCAAGGCGAAGGTCACCCGTCGAAGAGGACACTTACTCCACGTGCGTAATCAAATTAATAATCTAGTTTTTACATATAAATAGCCTCTTATTTATCTACACTAATATCATAAAGCTTTAGAGTTTGTTTGACCGTGCTAATCTCCGGAACTACTGGAATCGAAACGAACAATTCTTTTTATCGATATATCTATTTATCGAGGAAGGCTTATAAGCTATAAAACATTACGCCACGATATGTACGGGCCGAGCAGCGAGTGAAACCGCGGGACAGAAGCGAGTGTATATAATATTCTACTTTATACTTATGCAAAGCGAGTTCCTATAACTTCATTCAAATCCAAAAATAAAGGGCATCGGATAAGTCAATTTTTATCTAATTTCGTTATAGCCCGGAGGTTCAGGCCCGCTTTTCATGCATGAAGGTGTGTTCTAAACCTGGCCAGTTACGACACACCATTTGCATTCTAAACGAAAATATCGCGAGGACCCTACATTTTGAAGTCGACTATCCACCTTGAGGTAGCGTGCTGATTAATGCGCAAACCTTCTCCGTTTGTAAAGAGGTTTATTATGCCCAGCAAGGGACCCATATAATGTGTGTCGACGGTAGGAATGTCGAATTAAAAGGTAGTCTTGCCAGACAACGATGCACTAAGATGTTTTATGTAAATAATACTAATAATTAGGATATTATAACACTGCTTGTTACATATCTGTCGTATTTACATATCTCCCGGATTCGATTACCGTGTCGGGTGAAGTAGTATTGGGTTTTTTATTTTTTAAATGCTTGATTAAACTTGATTACAATCAGCTATCCATATGTCTACAGACTCCATTCTTAGGATAACAAAATGGAACGTGCACCTAGCTTCACTGACGAAAAGACTGACGGATTATTATTCAATTTTGCCATTTCAAAAGTACCTATTTATGGTTTAGTTGGAATGAGTTTTGACTTTAATTTTTTCAGTCAAAAACCTTTATACTAAGTCATATAAAGGATGTACCTGAACCTAATGCATATTATAAATAACAATTTTCTAACAGAAAATCCCAACATGCTTTGCCTGACTCGGGGCTCACACCCAAGACCTCAAGATCCGCAGCCACGCTCGCTTCGGAGAGGTGATTTTTGATATACATAAACTGTATAAACAATATTTAGGTGTCTTTAAGGACTTATGTCACTTGAAACTGCATACAATACTAGTTCCAAATACATTATAAATAGAGTAGGTTTTCCTTTGATACCATTGCGTTATTTTTATTTTTATTCCTCCCTTGTTGCGGGTGTCAAAAATTTGAACCCTGCCAACTGCAAACTTTCTTATGTAGAGGCCTATAGTCCAACCTATACACCTGTCTCATTTACAATGCAAACGGAAATTGGAAGATAAGAGCGAACAAGCTAACATACTTCAATAAAAAATCATCCTATTTTTACGTTGTATATAATGTCTGAACGAATGCACAAAATACGCCGTAATATTTGTTGTATATATTGAGAAATCGTATAAAAGAACTCAACTGGAACATACTGCTGACCGGTTAAAAACGTCTATATACTGCCTCAATATAGGTTGACAATGAACTTTATCTAGGAGTGTATAAAATTCAATTTTCCTTAACTACAAATTGATGAAACCATTTTCCTTGCAGGACATCATCTAAGAAATCAAAGAAGTCACGCGAGCCATCATTGTCGCCCCCGCCTAAGCGATCACGATACAGGTATTATTTGATTTTCTATTCTTTTATAAAACCGGCTCTTATTTTCACACCTGTGTCAAGGAGAAGTCTACCTTATCAAAAACATGATAGAACTTGTTTTCTACCCGTGGTACAGGATAAAATAGCCTCTTCGCCCTTTACTATTCTCTGACACAAAAATCACGGCAAAAACGCTCCGCTACGATGTGAAAGAAAGACAAATAAATAATTTACTTTTGAATTAATAATATTGCCAAGTTTTTTGCCAAAATCAACGAAATATAAAAGAATTTTATGAATTTATAGCAACGGATTGCATGAAATAACTCGATATAGACAATAAAAAAATGTGTCTTCAAAAACTTTGTGATTTTCGATGGATAATAAGTTGAACTAATATTGTTTTTGTTTTCAGTGAACGCAAGTCAAGATCACGTTCAAGATCTCGCGACAGGGAAAGAGACCGCGACCGTTCCCGAGAGAGGGAGAGGGACAGGGATAGGGATAGAGAGCGAGAACGGGACAGGGATAGAGATAGGCGGCGCCGTTCCCCGGCCACGCCCCCTTCGCATCACCACCGAAAACATAGCAAGCATACAAAGTATAAGTACTAAAGAATGTGTGATGTACTGACTAGTGTAATTATGTTAAGCAATAAAATTATTATAATTATGAAAATGTGTTTTATTTTTGATATGATATTGTGACATTTCAAATCTTTGGGAATTTTTGAACAAATAAAAAAGTAGAGAAAAACAGGCACCTTCTCTTTAATTAAATGAGCATGTGACAAGAAAGTTTTTTGAACACAAACAACAAAATTGACGAAAATCAACGACAAAAACACCTGTCTTTCGAACTATTGTCACGATTTATGCGTCACTCCTGACTGCGCCTTTGAAATGGTTCAAAACACCGCAACGCAGTAGCGATGTGTATACGAATTAAGTAACTTGAGTAAGTTGGGTCAGACCGGAAGCGAGTCAGCCCGATTCAAAATTTCTACAAACAGAGATGACCCGGGGAGCGCATGCAACGATACGCGGCTTCTACCGTTGTGAAGATAAAGGGGTTCAAATGACTGCGAGCGAGGCGTATCAGCTCAACGACCAAAAGTCTGAGCGGTAACTGAAAGAGCTAGAAGGAGCTTGTCGTAATATATTTCAAAGTTGATTGGTTATTATTACAGTTAGCACGGGTGATGATTCTTCCGCTGGACGTGGTAACGTCTCTCGGGAAAACGTCATCGAGATTCGATATTGCCTAGTCTCTGAAATCCAGAGCTCAAAACTCAATCGAGCAAAACCAGTTACGACCTCGAAAAAAAAACTTAAGTTTTATAGAATCACTGCTGTACTATTTTCGCGTATACAATCGGGTATGTAGAGTGAAAGGAAATAAAAAAAATGGTCAGAATTAGATAGGCTGAAAGTGATTTATCGATTGTTAGAACGATCTTTTGCGGGATTAACCTTTTGACCGCCAGAATATAGATAGATGTATCGACGGCACTCCCACGCCAAGCCCCAAATTCAGCGCAATCACCTACAAAAAATAGGGATTCCAACACTTAGACCACAACACTTAAACATAACAAAAATAATCAAGGAATTAAAAAAAAACAATACTAATAAAACTTTAAAAATTTTCCCACAGCCCCTTCGTGACCCATTAAATACTCGTATGTACTTTTAAACCAAAGCTGGTGCCGTTAAGGTTCAATAATTGAAATATTATTAGTAGAAATGTTTAATAAGTACTAGGAACATAAAATATGTTGCGAAGAGTGTAGCTGTTGCTTATTTTTGACTAGAAAATCCAAGTTTGCGGAAAATGACGATAATTTTATTCTAAGGTCTGGTTCCACTTCGTCAGTCGCTCGTCAAATAGCGCCCTATGGGCTGATGTTCAGCCCAGCCCCATCTGTGGTGGTCTATTGGTTATTTGAGGCGCGCGCAGTACGCTCGGGTCTGGTTCTGGTTAGGCGGCGAGTTACTCTTACTTGCCGTCCGCAGACCCGCGCTTTCGGTGGCTGGAAATCGTCTCTCGATCCCCGAAGCCCGGAGTTCCGCCAACTGAGGTGGCTGGGGAGTGAGGAGGATAGCTCCCTGACGCAGTCCGCTTCCTTTGCCAGCATAACTGCTTCATGTTTCATAAAAAGAGGCGACGACGGCCCAGTTCCTATCGCTCCGCACCATGGTCTCGAGAAAGGCCGGGCGCGAGAGATAAGAGGTATGTGCGGGCGCGCGTCTCTCACCGCCTACGAATATCTACTATGGAATGAGTCGATCGATAGTAGTGTTACGTGCCTGACGTCACGTTCCTGACTATGCGGGCTTGGGTTACGGGATTGGATGAAATGAAACACTAATACCGGTTTTCAGACTTTCTATTGCACTTAAGTTACAGCGTCCACGGAGTTAAGTTATCGGCGTTCTTCTCCAGCAGAGTCCGGCCGACTGACACAACTTTGCCGTTCACGCTGACTTAACTCACTTAACTGACTGCACTTCACTATTTCACTGCACTTCACTATTTCACTCACTTTTCTTCTTTTCCACTTCTTCCTTTTCTTCCGAATCGCTTTAGACTTAGAACTCAACTGCCAGCGGTGAGCCGCAGTTCCGCTTATATACCCCCGGTCAGGTTCTAGAACATTCAATTTCGTTATTCTTTTTGATCGTCATGCCTCCAGAACCTTCCAATAATTTCGTTATTCATTTTTATTTATTCTCCTTCTCGCTCCTTAATTTTTCATTTCTTTCACTCAAATAATTCCAGAAAGTTCGACAAAACTTCCATCAACTAAAAAACTTCATGTTTACGGCGGGACTCGAACTTGGGGTCTCTGTGGTGTAATCCACACGCCTTACCGATTACACCAACTCGTGTTGACAATTCACGACGAAATTTACAATCTCTAGGCAACGTTTGACAACCATCCCTTGACGTCATGATGTCAAAGAGTTTTCCGTCACACTGCCCCCCTCTTAGATTCGCTCGTCCCGAGCATCGTTGCTGCCGTAATACCTCGCCAACCTGTCTATATGGACAACTTTCAACGGGCTCCTTGAAGTCTTCCGAATTCTGTAAGTAATGTCATTGATCTTCGTGACTATCTCATAAGGACCTTCCCAACTCGGTTGCAGCTTCGGAGATTTTCCCTTCCTTCTGACTGGATTATGAAGCCAGACCAATGACCCTTCTTCAAACCCAACAGAATTGGCTCGTCGATCATAGCGCGTCTTTGCGCGATCACTAGCTTGAAGACCGGCCTCCCTGATCTGCTCATAAATGTCCAACATTTTTGCCCTTAACTCGCTTATGTAATCGCTAAATTCTGTGCGAGAGTCGCCAGGTGGACAGCCCGATACAAGATCTGCCGGTAATCTCAATTCCCTTCCAAAATTTGCAAATGCAGGCGTCTTTGCGGTACTTTCATGTACAGCAGTCCGATAGGCAAGCAAGAAGAGAGGTATGTAAGTGTCCCAATCTCTCTGATGGCTGTCAACCACCTTTGCTAAGTGTCGTTCCAATGTTTGGTTGAAACGTTCGACCATTCCATCTGACTGTGGATGATAAGGAGTCGTTCGAGTCTTATGGATTCCCAAAAGTTTACAAGTTTCCTGAAAAACTTGGGACTCAAAGTTCCGTCCTTGATCACTGTGCATCTCCAAGGGCACTCCGAATCGGGTGAATACCTCGTTTACCAAACTCGTAGCTACAGTTACTGCCTCTTGATTCGGTATGGCAAAGACCTCCGGCCATTTTGTAAAATAATCCATAACCACTAAAACGTAGCGATTGCCCGAATCAGTGATTGGAAATGGTCCAGCGATGTCTAAGGCTATTCTCTCCCAAGGCATACCAACATTGTAGATTTTCATCGCCCCTCTGCTTCTTGTTTGTGGACCCTTGACAGCTGCACAATTAGTGCATTTCCGGCACCAATCTTCGACGTCATATTTGCAATGCAACCAATAAAACCTCTCCTTGATCTTCACCAAAGTCCTCCTAATTCCCAAATGTCCTCCAGAAGATCCATCATGGAACGCTTTTAATACATCCCTTATTTTTGAACGAGGCACCACCAATTGCAAATGCTCGTCCTTGCCGTTTGTTGATTCCCATTTCCTGCACAGAAGTCCGTTATGAAGCGTAAGGCTTTTCCACTGTGCCCATAAACCTTTCGTTACCGCGCTATATTGGGCGACGTCACTCCAACTTGGCTTGTTACCACTTCGTAGCCACTCCAGTATTGGTTTGATATCCGCATCTCTTTCCTGTTCTAATTTCATCGCATCATCTCCCCATGCCTCGTCAACAGTATCAGTCCTTATCACCTTAAGAAAAGCAATTTCCTTCTTGGCACAATGCTTGCAATCTTCCACGCATGGGCGTCTCGATAATGCATCTGCGTTGCCATGAATTCTTCCGCCGCGATGTTCGATTTCAAAGTCAAATTCCTGAAGTTGTTCCAACCATCTGGCTACTTGGCCTTCAGGATCCTTAAACTGAAGCAGCCATTTCAAAGCAGCGTGATCAGTTCTGATTAAAAATTTCCGTCCCCGTAAATACTTCTTGAAATGGTGCAGGGTTTTGACTACGGCCAGCAATTCCCTCCTGGTCACGCAATAATTCCTCTCCGGCTTGGATAGTGACTTGCTGAAGTAAGCAATAACCTTCTCCTGCTCACCATCGCGTTGTGAAAGGACACCTCCTATTCCGATATTACTGGCGTCCGTATCAACTACGAATATTCCTTTCGCGCTGGGGTATCCGAGAATTGGCGTTTTACAAAGCCGTTCTTTTAGT